AAAGTTTTCTTTTCCAGCACCAACATATATACTGTGATAAACAGGGAGGTTTAGCGCATGCACAATGATTTCATTGTACAAGGACCACCATGTTCTTTATCCTGAGACATACATCTGATCATCATGAGACTGAAATGTTTCAGAAGGGGGTTTAAAATGTCCACTATACTCATGTAATGCAGCATAATGGTGATGAATTCTCTTGAAAAGTCTATAGTTGATGGATAACGTATACCACACTATATTATACAGTATATGCCTAGATCACAGATCAATATTCTGCCTCATTTTAAACTTCTCTAGGAAAACGTTGTAGTTTGTAGATCCGAGCCTTCCGTCCACTACAACTTTCGATCCAATGCCCCACATCGCCTGCCATTTTAAAAAGGGTAACTTTTTAACCGCGGCTGCAGCTCTACCCCGTGGCGTGAAGGCCTCCCCTGCTCCTCAAAATGGATCTTACCTTCTGTGTTGTGAATGAATGAATTAACTGTAGGCCACTTTGTAGGAAGTAGTGTTTTCACAGGGACAGATGCAGCTTTTACAAAGTGACTCTGCTGGGCAATTTATATTTAAAAAAAAACTCAAGGTGCTTTTATTTTATATACTTTTGACTGGTGTCCGTCTGCGGCCTGGTGATGAAGTGGCGCCCCACAGTTTGGGAACCACTGCTCTCATCCACACTAAAAAACAACTGCGGACATTGAGTTAGCAATCCAGTGGGCTGGGATGGTCTGATTAATTTATTTGGGAAACAACTATTTTGTCCTTGAGAGGGTAATACGGTGGTAAAATGATTTGTGTCGTATAATCCGGTCACTGGATGTAGGAAACTTAAATGAGGACTGGCCCCTTGAGGACTCGACTCTGGGGACATCTGGTAAAGTGTGACAGAGCATTTCGCAGGAGGAGGATTACCTTTGCGGAACGCTTTCAGAAGCGGTATGAATTTCGACTTTGGCCAGTTACCAATGCAGAGGTTTGCAGCGGGAGCAGTTCAGCCAAGAGCGAAGCAACAAACGATGGGGTGTGCCTGGAATATCATCAACAACATAACAGGAAGCTGATTATCTGGACCATGGAGACACTTGACCTCTGGCAGACATTTCTCCGTGTGATGGACAACATAGCACTTTATTTAAAATTGCAACGCACTTGTAATCGGGTTCTACGTTGTCTCATAAATATTCACTACCATTGAATTCGTTTTTAGCACTAATGAGGCTATGAATCATTTCATGGCAAATAAACCAATGACATCAAGAGAAAGGTCAACATTCTTTTCACAGCAACGGCCTTAAGAGGACTGTGGGCGTTTTAACAAAAGAAAAAAAAAGAAAATCAGAAAACATGCATGTGCATTGACGACAGCAGATGTTCCGAGTTCACTTGCTGCACTCCAACGGCACAACATCAGGCCTCGGAACCAGAGAGGAGGAATCATGCAGCAATACTGCAATACAATCTGTAGATAAAAAGACAAACCCCTGTGTAAGTGCTGCTTGGAGTCAGATATGTGTAGAGAAAAAAAAAAGGTTTGGCACTTAATTGTTTTCTTACATGCCATTAATTCTGAATTGTCAATAACAATCCGTCGGGAGGTTATTGACCTCTGGTATGCAATGCTCTACAAAATTACCAATCAGATTGTCATTGCCCTTCTAAGTCAGTTAGGTCATTAGGTTCGACGTCCCTGAGATAAATAAAAGCATTTTGAAATGGTTCTCACCTGCTGCACGCCGTCCAGGTTCACTCGCTTCCCGTGGCGTTTCACCAGTCGTTCCCTCCACCCCAGGAAGAACATCTACGTGGCCCAGACCTGTGGCCCACCTAGTCCCAGGAGGCCCTCATCATCCTGGCGACCGCCGCCTCCTCGTCCTCCAGGAGACACACTTGCTCCCCTCTGCAAGCGCCATACGGATCCATGAAAAATAAGATGGAACGTGTACAGAGAGAATACTTATTGTCTAGACGAGTGCGTGTGAATGTTTGAACATTTACATTTATTGTAAATGATGATCAACACATTTAACTGATAACTAGTAGTTCAATTATATATACAACCTTTAATTTGTCTTCACTCAGTAAAACAGACCTATCGGGGCCTCGGAGACAATCCGATAACCTGATCCATAGTGAGGAGTCCTTAAGTGCATCGTCATTAACTGGTTTCAACAATGTAAACACGCACAGCCTAAACATAACATTCATTTGTGTGAAAAAATAATACATATTTTTTACTGAATATATTTGTATTTCTCAGTTTTCCGAGACTTAACAAATAGCAGTCTAGTTCAGAAAATAGAAACGCTGCATGACTGTTACATCAATAAAACAATTAAAGACATCAATTTGTGAATTGATTCAGAATCTTAGAGATTAATCTCAGATCTCATATTTAATATTATCCCCCTTATTGATTTAGCTGTATGTTTCATTGTCTTTGAGTTCTAAATGCACTTAATTGATCTCAACACTTCTGTTTTCAATATCCAGTCATTCCTAAATGTATCTTTGTTTGTGGCTCCACCTCTCGGTTCCCTCTGGTGAACTACAGTTAGAGCCAGAAAGCAACGCATGGAAGTATGAAAGGCAAGAAATGTGTTTTATGACAATCCGTGATGACCATCAATTTATTAGAGGTAGGGTACCTGGATTTGACATGTCAAATGTGATCTTAAAAATGTGTAAAAATGTAGGTAATCTTGTTCTCCTTCCTTCAGGTTTGTCTACAAGCGACTTGACTGGTCTGACTATGAGGTCAATGGATGACAACCAGAGGAGCGTTTCTGAGATGGAGGTCCAGCCTGAGGGCCGAGACCAGGGGCTGGAAAAGATCTCGAGGAGTCACGGCGGCTCTCCGGTAGATCTCTGGCAGGATTGGTCAAATAGGAAAAGCCGATGCGGTCCTGAGGCGGTACCGCAGGTGGAGGCGGCATGCAGGGCAGAAGCAGCCACTGCAGCCCCTTCGTCGACACGATGAGGAACACCAGCAGGAAAGCCAGCTGCACGCTGTTAGAGGAGAGCCGAGGCAGCCCGGGGAAAGGGCGGTTGGTGGGGACAGAGACGACCCACCGGTCACCCTTGAGGATAGAAAACAATGCTCAGCAGCTCCTCGAGGGGCGCGTCGGGAGCAGCACCACCCGGTCCTCGTCATGGACTCCTCTGGTCCCTCTGAGGCCTTCGAGGTCCAGGAGGCCGTTGCTCAACGTGCGATCGATGCAGGTGGATGTCTGACAGATCTCCTCATGGCTTCTCCAGGAGCCCATAAAAGTAGGCCTACTCCGTGGAAAGCCTGACTCTTCAAGGCCCCTCCACAGAAGGCGTCCGTTCCGCTGAAGATGCTTCACCCTCGAGACATCATACCTGGCTCCACCCACAGCTGCATGCACCTCCGCCGGCTGGGGTGCCGGCAGGGCACCCTTCCCTTGACCACTGCCTGCCATCCATCCAAGTCTCTCACTCGTTAAAGAAGCTCGACGAGGACTCTGTGCCAGAGCAGATCCTCCTCCTCCAGCGGGCTCCCCCGCCGTTTCTGTGCCAGAAGCTCCGAGGCCGGCGGAGCTCCTTCCTCTGAGGGGCCCTGTCGCCCCAACGGTACCTCCTGAGGAAACGCTACAGGGAGCTGGACCGGGACGCACACCCCCCAGTCCAAGCGCTACGGCAACGTGATTCTGATGTGCCGTCTGCTCAACACGAGCCTCCTTTTGGGGGGGGGGGGTGGAGCTGGTGAATTGGGGCTGACTCATTTTCTCTCAAAGGCAGTGAAAGTCTTTCAGCTCGTCCGTCTCTGTGGTCCTTTTGTGTCTTTTTGTAGTTTAGTGTCTCTTTGTAGTTGTTTACTGACTCTTTGAAGTCATTTTGTGTCTTTGTAATATTACAGTTCATTTTCACTACATGAGCACAGACATGCACGATTACCACCTTGGTTACAGGCAACAAATACCTGTATAGGGAAATCATGTAGTACTTCTTGAATTATATTCTGATGAATAAATTGCACTTTGCACACAGAAATTACTGCACAATCTGCCCTCACCTTTGACTACATTGCCCTCTGCTGGTTATCAACCGCACATGATTTGAGTTGCATAATTATTTTTATTAAGCAGTAGGCCCAAAACAAACATTTGCTTTGATAATAGCAATTATTTACACGGCTTACCACTTGTTATATTGATGCATAATATGAACTAAAGTAGACACACTGCGATGCTCAAAGATGGAATATAATGTTTGATGGCACATTTCTTTAAAGCTTCCATGATGCATTTAAGTTTAGATCATACATAAGTCGGATTGCATCAGAGGCTTAATATACAATACGAAGGATGCTGTACTGCAACCTCTTAAGCAGCAGATATAAGCAAGAGTGCACTGCTGCAATCCAATGATTCTCTTTAAAAATCTAATTTGATGCATTCATCCTCTGCTTGACATGATGAATCACCTCTCCAGGAATGAGCTGCAAATTTTTTTTATGCTCCTTGAAAATACTAATAAAGTACAGACTTCCCTACTCCATTTTCTCTCTGCTCTCACTCGGTTCTGTGAGCTGTTTTGACCTGGAGGCTCGAAACTTTGAAGTATTGCAAAATTTATTAGCACACATGACAACATGACAAATAGCACAATTACCCGGCTCTTCGTAATGTTTATCATCCATCTAACAATTTCTGCATCATGCAAAAACTGGCCTAGAAATGTATTGATTTCTTTAGCAGGAAATCACGGTCTTCCAAATTGTCCACGTAACATGCAGATGGCAGATGCACCAATTGCATTAAAATCTATTCACCATGACAAGGAACCTTGCGACTGAAAATCAGAACTGAATTAAGTCATACCAAATCATGACTTGCTGCATCAATACTTCTCAAAAAAATATATATATATTTACAACATACTTTTAATATATAGTTGTTTTTCTTGTCTGTAGATAATGTCAATGATTATATCATAAAATTGGATCCATCGCAAAAAAAGTTAACTCAACCACGTTTTTTCAGTTATCTTTCATAAATATTATCCTTTATTTTACATAGCCACAATTGAGACTGGATAGCATTGTAGTGACTCAATGGGAACAACTCGGTCCATCAACACATTTCCAGTATTCTGGGGAATCAATAGTTATCCTGTAAAAAGTATATTAATTATTTGACAAAACTTGAATTTGTATCTGCAAAATGAGTCTCCACTAAACATCTCTTGTACACCCAGTATCAAATTGACATGCGTGGTTTATCTGATATGTTTATCAAACAAATGTAAGGGGAGTTCATTCCAGTGATTCATCATCAGGTATCAGCTGTGCGGCCTGTTGACGGTCCCACGTTGTCATTCGGTCCCTCGTCCTCCTCCGCCGAGTCCTCAGAGCTGTTTACCACGGCCGCACTGAGAGAATGGAGCTCCTCCAAAACAGACAGCAGTCGCCCTGACAAGATACAGGCCGGCCAATGGTCACATTAGTCCCGGCTGTGCAAATGTGAGGATGTGTCTGGCGCGTGAGGGGTTAGGACTCACCGTCTGCAGGTAACACACAATGACTCCTCTCTGAAGGGTTTTTCCGATGTTCTCTAGCTGCTGTGTGAGTTCTTGCACGCTCACTTGTCAAACGTCTCTCAGCAGCGACGGGGGCCTGCAACAGATTGAGATCATAAGAGGCAGAAATGACAGGAACAACTTTTGTTGACCGTCTTCATGGCTTAAAAAAACGTTACCAGCAGCGGTTGTTGTTTAATCGGGATATCCCTCTTTTTCTGTTGTTGGGTTCCTCTCATTCTGTCCTCTTTCCTGGCTGCGTCTCTTTCAAACTGCCGCAAAGTCATTACTGCAAGAGATAACACACAAGATCGAAAGCCACGGGGAGATGCAGATATATACTGTGTAAACAATTCTCATCATATCAGATCAAAGTCTGCATTACAGATATGAAGCTGCTCTGCGTAGGCTGAGGCAGCATGGTGCTAATCCTGCTACCTGCTTTGGTGTGCTCTCTCTTGGCAGTTTTGACTTGAACCTCCATCTCGCTCAGCTTCTCGGCACAGCAGTCCTCGAGCTCAGACACTCTCTGCTGGAGGGCTGAAGGGGAGCAACAAACATCATTAGTCAATACAGTTTATCAAACACTGAGAAACATAATCCAATGCAGGAACAGGAAATCACCTGTGATAGTGCGGATTAGATGTATTCCATCATTAAAGCTGCTATAATGAATACTTTTATAGGACTAACGGACCCAATGAAAACATTTATATGAAAAGGAGTCAATCATAATAAACCAATTGAGAAAATCGGCATCCCAACTCTACACTTCCGCTCTACGTTCATAGTTTGTTATTTCAGCCCACAACTATTGTTTTGATTTACTGTGCATTCATCAGTCCAAATGGCAGACACACAGTTGGCGACTCTGTAGTGAAACTAGTGGAGAATTTAGTGGAGAGTTTAGCAGGTAAAGAGACTAGTGGAAATTAAGTGGATAGCTTCCATATTCTTTTTATTCTCTATTTTTGTTACTCTCCCGGATGCTCAACAGGGAAAGAGAAGAATTGTATTCATGTAAATGAAAAAGTTTTGTCCAACTTCCCAAGCCTTATATTTGTCCCTTACCACTTTATTTTAACTGTGAGCATAAACAGGAGGAAAGATCACAGCAAGTCAAACTTTTCAGCCTTCATAAAAGCCACCTGACTATTGTTTTAACACAGGCTTGTCATTTAATGCAGGTTTAAAGCCGAGAAGCTCCCAAATGACTCAGCAACACTACAGTCAAGGTGCTCTTGGACGTGTCACTTAATTCCCAACTGCTCCGGTGCATCTACCGAGGAGACCAGTGGGGGCCAGGTGTGGAAGCACAGAGACGGCGAGGAAGGGCATTTCCTAAATAGATCAGGAGGGGCTTAGTCTGCTTTCCCCGGATAAGTCAAGGCTGAAAAACAGTCACGGAAGCCGCTGCCTCACCGCGCTCGCTGTGCTCCTGCTGGCTGAGCAGCTCGGAGCGGAGTTCCTCCAGGTTGACCTTGCTTTCCTCCAGCTGGGCCTGAATCTGCTGCAGGCTCCGCTCTGCCTCGGCGCCGCCAGCCAAAGCCTGCCGCACCTCCGCCCGGCTCTGCTCCAGCTGCTGCTGCTGCCACCTCAGTTTGCTTTCATCTGAAGAGGATGTACAAAAAAGGTGAGCTGGAAAACACACATTGCCAAAGCATTGATACCCGACAGATAAAGTGGTATAACAAAGAAGAGCTGCGAGTTGTAAAGTGTGCTCACGCTGTTCTTTCAGGTCAGCCAGAGCTTTCTCGATGAGCTCAGGGGTTCTTTTGAGCTCCTGTGTGAGCTTGTCTCTCTCCTCACACACCCCACGAAGCTCCGCCTGAAGGTCTGTGATGCTGCAGGGCAACAAGGACAAGATGGCAGATCAAAAAACGGAGCAGGAAGTCAAGCAAAGAAGTGGAGAAGCAACTGCATGGTGTTGAACAGGAGATGAGAATGACTGCATTCAAATGTCGAATGATTATTATCAGAGGATTATTCTCAAACATAACTAAACTAACTAACTTTTTTCCAACCTAACAAAGCTGAAACTGATGTTTTCGGGTTTGATTATGTACAAGGTTCATATCGGTTTTGAAAAGCAATATACATTTAATTGGACAATGTAAACATATAACATTCTCCGAATTAGTGCTAAAAGGGTTCTTTAATTCAATGAATACTAATAATTAATGAATTCCAAATCTGACCAGTAATAATTTATTACAATCATAAAAACTGCAGGGAGATGCTTGACTTTCTTAATTTCCCATTATAAAGAGTACTTTGGGTCCGAGGGCTCTTGATCACAATAGTGAAGCCCCTTCAAGAAATCATCTCCGCTCCAGGATTGTGCACATGTTGCATTTAGCTTTGCCAATACGGAGTAAATTATTGTGGTCAATTGATTGAAGAGGGTAATTGGCAGTTAGTAAAAGAATAAAACACACTACTGAAAAACCTTTCTTAAAAAGCACACATTAACAAATATGTGGAAGGAGAAATCAACACACAACTGCAATGATTAATTAAATTCAGCTTCAGATAAAAAAAAAAAAAACTAGGGCATTGAGGTGAAACGTCATACCGGTCATCAGTTTGCTCTGTCGGTTTACTGGCCTGCTTAGCTTTCTGCAGAGCCACCTTCCTCATGGTCAAACCTGAAAAACAAAAACACAAACACATACTTTATCATACATATGCAATTCTAACTAGAGCACCGTGATCACCTCAGCCACCTCCTGTGTGACTGCACCTTGTATTGTCTCCACTTGTCTTTTAGCAAAGGTTAGCCTCTGCGTGAGAGTGTTGAGCCTTGCTTGAGTGGTGTCCATTTCTGCCACCTTGCCTTCAATTGCGAAACTAAACCTGTAAAGCACAGAAAAATAAAAAAATAAAAAGTTTAAAATACAGCATTGATTAAACGGTTTTTCATTTCTCTAATTTACCACGAAATTCTCACCACTTTAAATCCTCATGAATTTGTTTACCTGCGAACTGCCTCGGTCAGGACTTTTAGTTCAGCCTCTTCTCTCTCGCTCTGTGACTTAAGCTGTGAGTTTTCTTGTTGCTCCAGTGCGAAGTCCCGTTTCAATGTCTGGTTAGAAAATCACACAGAATAAAAGCTCTGTTATGAGGGTACCAGAGTCGGCACAGTTTGCTGGGAAAAAATGCGTGAGGGTTTATCACTATCCTAAGTAGCACCAAATGTATTGTGCCTCATCAAAATTTCAGACAGCAGCATAAATCCCGTCACTTGCTCGGGTCCTAACCTCCTTTTCCAGTCGCTCCAGGTCTAGCTCTGCGATCCTGTCATCAAGACTGTGTTGGAGCACATTAGCTCGGTGCTGCTCCTGCTGGAGCTCCTGCTCGAGGAGCTTGACCTACACACCAAAACAGTACCACTTTAAACACTGAGCATATTTTCTCTTACATGTATTCCACATGTATGTTGTTAATAGAAGACCGTTTTTTAATACTTTTGAGAGAACTTCATCCTTTTCTCCTCTTAGTTCAATGTCCTTTGAGCGAAGTTGGACGCATAACTTAAACACTTTGTCCCTCCAGAGCCGGAGCACTTGAAGCCCTTCTGATTCATTCTTCCCAAGCGGATCGGTGGAGGTCTAAAGAAAAAAAAAAAAAAATCAATGCACACATCCCCTTTGGTAAATATGACATGCTAATTTGCCTCGTGATAGTGTACATGCACATTCAGATGGAGCACTTCAGGTGACGTGTTAAGCTGCCTGAATTGCTCCTGCAGGGCTTTTCCGTCCTGTTGGGATCATCACTCAGACCCTGTAGTCTCCTTTTGGAAAATTGTCAGGTAGAATTGCAAACTTTATTGCCTGAAGCCAACAGCACACAATGATAAGTAGCTGCTTATGCTATATGGGAAGCCCTCGAGCAGGAGTGCTACGGTTTGTTCAGCCTGTGTATGTGCGGTGTATTGCTAAGAGACACTCACCTTTTTCCCTATTTTCTCTTCTTGGAGGGTGAGTATCTCACTCACAGAATTGAACCGAACTGTCAAAAGCTCTGTGGTCATCTGAAGAGCCGCTTTCTCTTTTCTCAGCTTCTAAAAATTGGACAATTTAACACGGTATACTTAATGGAATGAATTGCTATACTAGGCATATTGATTCATTCATAGTATCACTTTCACCAGTTTAAAAGAACAAGCTACTTGGTTTTTTTCATGCGCAATTACTTTACAGCAGGCTGATTGGAATCAATATGGTGTGTATTGTATTCACCTTAACAGCTTCGTTTAATTGTTCCTTCTCTTCTTTTTCCGGGGCGAGCTGGCCGATGTAATTTCTGAGGCTGTTCAGTGTTGCCGATTGGGTCTCAAACGCTTGTCCCATTTGGCTTGAAAAAAAAAAAGAGAAAAAAACACCCCCGCCAAAAAAAAACAGTGAGTCTGACAACAGAGTGCATTACATGTGTAGATCTCTTCAGTTTTAAATTGAATGTAGTACCTTAAATGTTCTTTCAGCCCATCTCTCTCAGCAGATACCTCCATCAGAGTGCTTTTTAGCTGTAACACTCCAGAGGTCATCGATTCAAGTCTGTCCTGTAGTTCACGGTTTGAACTTCTTGCTGCAGCCAACTCTGCACAATGAGAATTGTTCAACTGTAGCAGCTGAAAAGTGAAGAAAGCCAAAGAAAGGACATTTCAAGACACGTACAAATCGTGATACAGTGCAGCAAACATTATCTGCCACAGACCTCCACTTTATGCCTCTTCTGTATCTCCTCCAATTGTCCAGACAGTGCAAGAATCTGCTGTTTGCCATCCGCTGCAGCCTGTAACCTCCACATTTCAGCCTTTAGAGTGAGCTCCTGGGCTTCTGCTTTGCTGCACATCAAGTCTTGTCTCAGTTCTGTAATTTGTTCACCCGATTCCTTCTTTAGTCTCGCGAGCTGCAACAAACAAATGGCTTTTGAATATGAAACTAATCAGTTAAACTAGCAAAATTAAAACTGCTAGGTGACTGTGAGCTATTATCCAAACTTCAGGACTGTAAAAACATCAGAATACAGCCTGCCAAAATAAGTTACAAGATGCAAGTAATTCTCAGATGATCCTTGTCAAAATCAGTGTGAAAATGAATTGCTTTTTTGGTAAATAGATTACCTGTGACCCGATTTCCTCCTTCTGTGCACTGCCGTGAGAAAGCTCCCCTCGAATTTGGCTGATTTCAGTCTTAGCCCTACATAGCTCTTCACGCATTGCTTCCAATTCATGGCTTGTTCTGTCATACAAGATTATGTCGCGTTTAATTGGTTACAATTATTCATCGTTTATCCCGAAGTGATTAGTTGCAAACTGCAAAGTACTTGATTGTACAACAGACGCCAGCTTCTACCTGTTCAGGGAGCCGTCTCGGTCTCTCATCTCTTCCCTGTGTCTCGCTGCAGTCTCCTTCAGAGCCTCCACCTGCCCCTTTAACCTCTCAGCTTCGGCCTTGTACTTATCCGCCTCCAAACGCCACTCAGACTCCCATCTGGACCGCTGGGCTCCTCCCTCTGCACACCTGTGTTTAATGGATCATGAAGGTTAACCCAACATGACAATAATGGTATTTCTGACTATTTAAAATGCATTGATACCTTGGCCTGAGGTCCGACTGGTGATCCACAGGGTTTCTCCCGCTTACGCCACCTTGTAACATCAGGATCCTTTGATTTTCCCTTCTGAGATCCAAGTTTTCCTGTCGGGCCTGCCTGATGGCGAGCCATTGATTGTTGGGACTGGGATCCCCTGGTTGTAGTGACGTCATACCGGGGTTAATCCAAGGGTCAGGAGGCGCCGTCACTGCCATTTGAACGCCTCCGTGTGCTCCAGCAGACTGCAGACTTGATGTAAAATGCGATGGGGGCACCAGGTCCTCTTGGATATTCCCTATGAAGCAGAACATCGTGAATGTGTGAAGGCCTTAGCGGAGCCAACTTTGTGTAGGACCAGCGTGCGTTTCCTGGTTCAGGGTACCCTAGTTTGGTTTTTTGCCCCTTAAGCTTCTTTAGAATACACACTTTAGCTTACAAACTGAGAACATTGTTATTATTACTTTATTATCAGTTATTTAAAACTGTCCGGACCAGGAAACAAGTATATGTAACATTTAAGTTGGCGTATTTTTAGTTACTCGTTAACATTAACGTTACTTCCTTCAGACTGGACCTAAAAGAGAAAGATAACGTTATTAAAAACAGATGGCAGCTTCCCTCCCTTAAATACAACATATCTCCGTCGATTAGAAACGTTAGTTGAGCTAACAAGTGCGGACTAAGTCAGCGTTAGTTAGTTTAAAATGGCTTGGGTAGCTTTATCTTGAGCTCAACAATTGCTCTCAGGTTAAAAGCGAGTGGAATGTTTTACCAAACCAAACGTTAGAAGAAGAAACTTACTTGAAACCGCAGGGGACGTAAAATCAGTGGGAACTATTAGTCTTTCTTTTCCAAAGTTACGTCTCTCCATGTTCAAACGATGAGACCAGCAGTGGCTCCCAAACCGCCACTCAGGTAAGATGCTCGAAGGCGCCGCGTTACATTTATTCTCCCGCCGCTGAACTCAATCGTTGTCTCCTTAGTTACAGTTTAACGTCTCCACTAAAAGTTACAACGGTAACCGGAAAAGCGCTCTGCTAAATCAGGTCTATTTCAGCAAGCGAACTTTTGATGCCCAGTTCACACGTCGGTTAAATTGCGTTTGGCAACAGAATCACAATCTAACGTCAGGTACGATACGACCTCCTATAACGTGTTTTATCAACTACAAGTGTCAAACGTTACAAACGTGCGGTGCATCATGGGAAAGTGGAGAGGACGTTGGGTTTAGACTCCCTGGGCGTTGTCTGGCAGGATGGTAGTTGCCTCTGTTATGTGTCTGGTTTGTCTCTACCGTCACGAGAGTCCAAGAATACACGAAAAGATTTCGGCCGTAAACATCCAGTTTACGAGGCTGCGTCATATCCACTCCGCAACAATGGTAGCAGCTTACCTGGCAGACTTGAATCAGGGCAACAAAAGTCCAAATGCAGAGTATTGTTGCACGGCGGTGGAGCATGAGAAGGTGATTGACACTCGGTTTAAACACTAGTAGGTCGATGAGCATAATTTCACACATATCTTTACGTCAAATTTACATAGGATAATTTAGTGCTCTGTTCTTCTGAAGGTGGTTCCGTGAGGCATTTTACTCGGAGGTATTATTTTGGTGATTAGTGGGAAAGAGGCTGTATAATTGCACCTAACGAAGTTATGGAACGTAAGACATTCCTTCTTTCTCTAGGAACTCCTCCTCCCATGAAGACTCAGGGGTATTTGACAACCACTCCATTTGTGCTTAATATTCCATTCCTGGAGAAAAGGGAGGACGGAGCATGCAGGGCAGTGAATAAGTGCAGCTTTGAATGTTAATTCTTGATCATTTGGTTATGTAACTGAGTATGTGGTTTGAGGTGCATCTATAAATATCTGTGTCCTCCAAATTAACAGTAGGCCTATATGACTTTGACATCATGCATTTGCATATTCTGAGAGATACCAGTGTGCCTACTTTCCTCCATCTGCAGTGATGCTCATTTTACACACACTGTGATTGTTCTTTCAATCTGTTCACTGCAAACATGAGTTCACCTTATAGAATGAAGTATTGCATCTATTGAATGTTATACGGTTGGCAGTATATTCACTATTCAAAAAAATACATTCATTTTTGTATCATTCTTTTTTCTCCTGCCTTTAGAAGCCACTTCTGTTTGCTCCAATATCCTCTCCACAGCTGCCACGATCCACTTCCCCCTGGGGTTCATTAAAGTTTTATATAGGACCTCATCTATTTATTGTGCATTCAATGAAGGAAGACGCATTGTAGTTGGATTTATTTACGTAAATGTCGATACAACCCCACCATGCAAGAACATCCATAAATAAATAATGGAGAGGTTGGCTACATAAATATATCAACAAATAACAAAAGATCTATAAATATACAGGTACCCTTGGCAGGATGGAGCACTGTGTAACTTATAATGTAGTGAAGGGATAGTTAGAGGAAAACGGGAAGTTCTAAGAATTATTTGGCCATTGTATTTGCTCAGCACTTTAAAAAACTGCGGAAAAGAGGGATCGCAACCATCGGGAACCCAGAAAACAAAGTTAATACTGACCCTCTAAGAAGGCAGAACTAAGATGCAGCCCTGTTGCTTCGAACAATTTAAGAGCTAATCTAGGGGGAACTTCCTGTAGTGCTTAAGCAGATGAATGCAGCATTTTGACAAAGGCAGAGCTCAGGCTTGTACATTTTCAACAAAAATGTAAGAGAAAAAACCCTGCAACTGAAGCTCATTCTGGCCACTTTAAAGAACCGCCCTTGCAGACTGATCCCTGCAGACCTGCCGGATTAATAAGACATTGCTATGGGGACAGTCCTCTAGACAGTCCTGGTTATGTCACTATAACCTTAAATGTGAATTATTAAAGACAATGAAAATATTTTCCTATTCTTGCTCAGGAACAATAGAAACTGCAACATCTTTGTCCCTAATCAAGATGACTCAGCCGACACACAGGGTTCAAGGGGGAAAAACTGTCCATGACTGCAAATATCTGGACTGGAAATTGTGTCTTTGATAAAAATGTCTTCATTTCAAAATGTGCTTGCTGAACTCTTCGCATGCCACAAGGGTAATACCGGGTAATATAGGTCCCTAAGCAGGGCCTTTATGATTCCGCTACATCTTTAATAATTCCATATTTATGTGTGTTTCCCAATCCCAAACTTGCTTAAAGGAAGCTAATCGTCTTTGTGCATATAGGAGCTGTACATGTTTAGAACCCAATGCAAACAGAGCTTTGTTCTTGAATGAGCGTCACAAGACTACATTTGGGGTATATTTCTCTTTGAAAGCTTTCCTGGCTTCTCCTCCTCCCTCCTGCAAAGAGGATGCCTCAGCTCAAATCACAGAATTTCATCTATCACCACCAGGCATTGTGCAAAAAACGTATGGGAGAAAAGTCTTTGCTCAGTCAGCAACTGTCTGGACTTCAGCTCATACCTCATAGAGTACTGTTTATTTTTGTTATAGATTTCAAGTTCAACTTAAAAATGCAACAAATGAGCTCAAAACATAAAGGAGCACAATTATCAACAACACATTACAATGCTTTTAATATATGTTTATTAGACTTTTTGCTTTCCTGCCCCGGACTAATTTCCTCCCCCCTGTGATCATTTTTGCCCCAAAGCGCTTCCCTTTTGTGGTTTAATAAGGAAGGACATTTCATATTGTAACAGTACAATCTGCTTGTTAAACAAGTGTGGGTCCGAGGCCGTTGCAAGGCAGTGCTTTTTATTCCCACAGTAATTAGAGAAGAGACGTTTTATTTGTAAATTATCATTAAGACCTTAACAATGAATCCAATTTAAAATGCATTTCACTTCCTGTGTGAAAACACATTGGGGGATGGTTTGCAATTTTTCGTACGCTTGTAAAAATATTCTACAAAATAATCCTGCCAATTAAACGTATTCAAATGTAAACGACATCTTCTCTCCGTGTAGGCCTGCACACTTCTTTGCCTCGCTTGCTTATTTGGTCAAAGGCACAGATGTTTTTTTTTTATCTCCAACACAAAGCTTAACCAGGACGCGAACCCTGTCCGGTGTTACGGTTGGTTTTTTACTTCATGCTTTCTAAATTGGGATTTTGACGGTGGTTGGAGGGTGAATTTAATGCACTGGCGTAACCCGCCCGGTTGCCTAGTAACGCGCTGGCAGTGGGCGCCGGAGAGAGATCTCTATGGTGGGCGCCCCGTTGGAATCGTTGGCGCTCCTGACCTTGGCGTCGTATATGCGCAAAGCACACAGACTGTGCAAAGCAGGAGATAAAGAGTAAAGATCCGTGTGTTTGATAGCGAAACCGGTTGGAAAGCACGTATCCCACTCGGCGCCGGGCATGGTATGGAGGAAACCTCGGGACGGAGCGCGCAGCAGCCTCAGTAAAAAGCAGGTGAGTTAAATCTAATGATTCTGGGCTTCTTTTTTTTCCTCCGTGGGACGAATCGTTGTTCACATTGATCACTGGATGTTTTGTATTTGACGCCGGGCTGCAGCTCAGCGATGTACTGAGGTGGCTCGCTGTGATTATTATTGTTGTTTTATCCAATGTTACCCCGTTTTAGACCCAGATAAAATAAGCTTTTTAGTCACAACGTGAGGCGATACACGCACGCACGCACGCACGCACACACACACACCATACATCACTTCGTCGGCGCTATCTGGGCTGTGGCTCGGCTTTTCTCTGTGGATCCTTGTATTGATTTATGAAGGACTAACCATTATGTTAAGTGCTACCTGCAGCCTCCCCATAAGGTAGTGTCCTATGCGTCAATCCTCGCTCCTCTTTATTGCAATGCTAAATTAGGGGGATTTGGGGAATCCATTGAATCGGCTTTGACCCACACCAGTCGAATTACAAGGGCATCGGGAGCCTGGTAGCCTACTGTTGTCTGACATACAATGCTCCTTCTCAAATGCTTTCATGTCCAGGGCCCCCAGGCTACCAGAATCTAATCAATACCATGTTGTCTCAGAGATTTTATTAGTGGGGAATTGGGGAATCGTGTGCCTGTCGATGGTGGCAATGGTGGGAAACATCATAGCAATCATTCAGGTTTGTAACTATACCAATTAAAGGATTTGATCCAGGATTTTGATCCAAACCACCTCGGTGATGCATAAACACCCGTCTAAATAGTCTTTTGGTTGTGATTGTAAAACAAATCGCGATTTCTTTCCATCACTTAATTGGCAAGACATATTTTGTGCAGCCAAGTTTCTTTCCTTTCCCATTGCTGGGCATGTTACCAGTCTAAATAGCCCAATAAACTGGCAGAGCATCACACTCGACTGAGCGATGTCTCCTTTTTATTACATGGCCCGCTTGGTGTAAGCTATAAAGCTTTTATCCACATCTGTCCCATCGCAGAGCACAAGTTGGAAAAAGAATTCTGCGGCCCAGTTTAAGGCGGTATTCAGCTGCTTTGGTAATTCATAGTACAATACTGCAGCTGTGTTTTCAATATTTGGAATTTGAAATTTTGTCCCCCAAAAAATAAGAAAAAAAAACACATCCAGCGGTGCTAACATCATGAATACATGTGAAATTTATACCGAGGGGGCTCATTTTAAGAATTCATTCTACCCCTTTGATCTACAGCTCCAGCAGTGACAGAGCTGCAAGAAGCAAATAACAAAGTCTGATTGGTGAGGCGCACTGCTGCTAATTTGATCATTGAACATTTCACACCAGATTTTGAGAACACCTCCAAATGATTTATTATCGTTGTCAATTTGCAAAGATTGGCTCGGAGCCATCTGAAAAAAAAGATCAAGTTCTCTATATTTTCCATTTTTATGTCTTGGGGGCCGTACATCATTGTCACGCAAAAGATGAAGAAGGGAAGAAAGTCTCGTCCTTTTCTGGCTTTAAGGAACATTTGTAAGTGTTAAATAATAGAGACAGAGTTGTCCTGAGGCACTGATGTACAATATTTCTCTCAGTCTTTCTAAAAAACGGACAACTGCAATTATATCCGTATCAGGAAAGGATTTACACCAGGCAAAGACAGGATGAGCAGCCTTTATCTGTGTGCACTTTCCTGATGGTGCAAAGAAAACGTATCAGGGAAAGAGAGAGGCCTATGCACCACATCTGCGCTTAATTAGCTTCTCTTATTAGCAGGAAAGAAATTGTCTCCCTTTCTTAAGAGAGGTGCATCAAACTGACACAGAGCTGTTTAGCGATACTCAAGGCAGCGTTCGTCAATAGATTTGATTAGGTTAACAAGCTTGCCTTTGCTTTCGCTCATTGATGAGCCAGTGAGAACCTGATGTTGAGCATATTATACCGACCGCCAGCCCCTCCCCCGAGGACTGGGACGGGATGCAGTTTTGGATAACAAAGTAGTTAATTGGAAGACGCGCAACCAAATTTGCTCTCTAGTTCTCCATGGGTGGGCTTAAATGTGAGACCTTATTTGAATATATTCAGTATGCGCATGTGTTTAAGGATGAATCTGTATTCTCCTGTTTACTGACACGTTTACACCAGTTAACCACTAACGAGAGACAACCTGTCGTCACAGGCAACTGCAGTCGGGTTAGTTAATATTACTAGAATAACTAACAGATCCAAGATCCTAGAATGTTTCAGTTTGAAAGATAACAAAAATCAATGTGTAATCAATACGAATGTATTCATGGCTGCAAGCGGATGATCCTGAGAAATCCTACATGTTATCAAAAGACTAAGCATTATCATTGGTCGAGATAAGTGAAAAGTTGCGAAAAAATGTATAGCAGAAGATGATGACTAACACAGATCGATTTCTCAGTACGACGTCAAAGGACCCTTTTCCTCTGAACTAAAATGTTCCTGCTGCATACAAGCCTTCCTCAAGTCACCTGCAACTTACCCTGCAATCACTTGCAATATGAAGAAGGGGCAGGGCTTACAACGCGTACACTTCTCAGGGGTTTTGGTTCAATGTGAGACACGAAAAAAATCTGTCCATGATTCAATATATTTGGTGTTTTAGAAATATAGTGTTAAACACTGAAACATCAGAAGCCAGATATTCCTTTTCCAGTTACTCTCACTGAAATTCAAATAGGTTTTTTTTTGCTCTTCACGTTGCTGCTTTTGCATTGGAGTGTTTAACACCTTTTATCTCGAGACGCTTTCACAACATTAATCTAACATCACAGCAGATGGATTTGTCTGATTCCTCCCACTGCTCCCCTACGTACCCACTGATACACAGAGATCAGTATGCAGTGATTTGTACATGTCAAAGCATGAATTCGCTCCTTTAAGGCAGCAGTTTGTCCCAAACGGTTATTAGCATCGAAAGATTAAAGTAAAGTAGTATTAAAGAATCTAGCGTGCTGATTTAGCTTCTGTAAAAGTATGGATTTAGAGACCCGAGGAACTGAAAGAAATCACTTTTATCAAAACGTGGTCAATCGTACAGGATGTTTTTTCGCATTGTGTTGATGTCTTTTATTCATCTTCTCTCCAGATTTGTGTGTACTGCAATGAAAAACGGAGGTGGGGGCGGTCCATACCTGGCTGTGGTGTATTTGGATTTGATAACCGTCGCAGCTGAAGGAACAGTGAGTGATGTCTGCTTGAGAGGGTCGGTGCAGAGGGACTGAGCGGACACTACATTGTGCATTTGTGCTGCGCGAAGGCATCATGTGGCTCGCTACATTCAGAGACCATCTGTTGCCTGCACACCTGCTACATCATCAAGGGACTGTAACCGTCACCCACTGTGCCCTTCTGTGGTGGATTCTATGTTCCTGCTGGTCATTCACCAAATCAACAGGCCAGAAATTCTATCCGACCGTGACGACCCAATTTGGGAAGCTGCGAGGCCTCAGGGTTCCTGTGCCCAGCGAGGTGCTCCGGCCCGTCGATCAGTACCTGGGGGTCCCCTACGCCGCTCCGCCCGTGGGGGAGAAACGCTTCATGCCCCCCGACCAGCCCTCCTCTTGGTCAGGTATCAAGAATGCTACCCACTTCATGCCCGTGTGCCCCCAGAACATCCACAACACCGTACCAGAGATCATGATGCCCATATGGTTCACCTATAACCTGGACACAGTAGCCACGTACATTCAGGATCAGAGCGAGGACTGTTTGTATCTAAACATCTACGCTCCTACGGACGACGGTGAGTCGGTGTGGTAAAATAGACAACAATAACGATCCATTCTATAAGTCGATTATTATCAATGTCTTACTGTTGTCCTCATAAAGCGTGTGTGCAACCACTGGTCATTTCATTGCTGCCACCAAGGGCTGATTAATCACCCAACCGTCATCATTGTTTTACTCGCTGCAGTCGTATGATAATAACAATCATGTTCAGAATAATATGCTGGAATTGATTGATATGTTAGTTGGTAGTTGCAACAGCCGGAGATCCCCCTGATGTCACTGAATGATTTTGATGATACAAACAGGCAAAGGAATTATTTTCAGCATTTAATAAGGATGAGCCTAGAGCGTATTTGGCTGTCAGCCTTGAGCATTAAAGATGATCATGAAGATTTAGTAAAGCTTGCAGTGCCAACTTTTGTTTGGAAAATTAATTGCAATGTCTAATAGAATATGTTAAGAATATAGTACCTTCATTACAAGCTTTCAGTATAAAAAGAAACTATGTTTAAAGTTGGACCCTGTTCATCTTTGGTTTTGCTTTCCTCTTTTGCTGACATGGTAGCGTAGCAACAGATAAACAGCCTCTTTGAGACGCAGTTGTCCAAAATGGTGCAGACCATGTTTTATAAAGGCCAAAATCTTCCTCACCCAGCAAACAACCCGGTTAATTAGATATCACACTTGCAATCACATTTCAAAAAAAGGAACACAACCCATCGGTTCTATACATTTTATATTTCGTTTTGGGTTTTTTTGAGATTTTGTTTCTCTCTTTATTTCATTGTTTATTTAAAATGCACCTTGGGCATTTTGTTACTTTATTCATTTGTTTCTCTAATGTGAAGCCTTTTTTTTACTTCAAGTAGTCTTTTTGCCATGACAAACTAAAAGGGTTTTATTGAGTTTTCCGCTACTAATATATTTTCTTTGTGGCTTGTTACTCACTTATCAATAAACCCTACACCTCACATCTTCAGTAACTATCCTGCGGCGGTTAACCTGAAGAATCGACATGACAGTTTGTATGAAAATATAATTGTACAGCAAGATACAATAAACCAAGAAAGATGTATTACTCCAGTCAAAGCTGAGGCAGCCAGATCAATATAACGACAGATAATAAACCATTCAAAGGAAACAGTGTGTATGCATGTGTGTGGCCACAAACACACCATGAGAAAATATTCTCTTTGCCTCTAAATGTTGGGTCCTTTGTCTCCTGATTCTTTTGATTGGTCCGTACATCAAATAAGAGACACGGTCAACCATAATGTTTTAAATTTTATACTTCTTTTCCCTCATGTGAATCCCAGGGAGCCAACACAAGAAAAAAGGGGCGGCTTTCTCACATGCTGAGACTCATATATCTGAAGGTATTTTTTAAGAGCTCAAAGTCTTAATGCATGGATCCTTTAGCCTGAGTTTGGTGGATGAAGTCACAGTTCTTTTTTTTTCTTCTACTGAATAACAGTAGCGGTTTAAAAAAAAAGAAGAGACGGAAAGAAGAGATATTTTGTTATCGGATTTATGATTACATAACTTTTCTGTTACTGGACCTCGTGCCTTGAATTGGGATTTCAGTAAGAGCTCATCTCTGCTATGAACATTGATTGCATCATCTACTTATCTGTTTGTTCTATTTTTATGTTAAAATAAGGACTTTCTATTTTAGCTCGTACGAATAGATAACACGAGCTTGGTGCAGTGTGGTCCTAATGTAAAACAAATAGAAAACATGTTTTTTTGCTTGTGCATGGATATTATATGAGGAACTGTGAAATTACACCATTACAGATAATTTTCTCCACTGACATCAAACCACAATTCAACGGGTTCTCTCCTCTTTATTTCTCTCATCAAAACATTTTAGATACAAGACAAAGCATGCTCGGTTGTGCCCCTTACTGTACATGCACTGTGAAAACTTTTGTTAATTATATTTGACTCTTTGACTCACACACCCCTTCTAGAGAATATTTACCATGCATTTTATAAATGTCATTACAGCTTCCAAACCACCAGCATACCACTGCTTCTTTGTACCTTTTCTAAGCCGTCTATACTCATGCCTCATACTGAAAAGTTAAAATAACGTTTTAATAACAATGTTTTCATTACTATTTCCCCGGCAGTTGTTTGCACAACATATTTGTGTGTGTTGACATTGCAGATATAAGGGACTCTGAAGCTCGACCTGTGATGGTTTACATCCATGGAGGTTCCTATATGGAGGGCACCGGAAACATGATGGACGGCAGCGTGCTGGCCAGTTACGGGAATGTTGTTGTCGTCACGCTCAACTACAGGATCGGAATATTAGGTGATGGCGACGTCCCCGTGTGGTCAAATATATTGTATTTCAAACGGGGTATTGAGTTCAATGTGAACTAAATTATAGTGACTCTCATTTGCTCTTATTTGCATGAATATGTTGTCCTTAGAAGAAAAGTGTTGCAAATATGTATTTAATATGGTCTGTCCTTGCTGCACAGAAGATGTTTAGAATCATTCTGAAAACACAATTTATCTTCCTTTAGATGTAGGAATGTAATCTGTAAAAGATCATCATCCTTTGCAGTTCTTGTAGGAAAAATGATTAAAATACAGTACGAAGCAATGCAGCCTTCAAGAGCATTCACAAGGTCAAGAGTTCCCCCAGTGTTTAACATTCAAAACAGTATGTTGTTTAGGTGAGACTAGTCAAGGGAATAAGTAATAGGATCAATTGTAAGAGCACGGTGACCTCTGTGTAGTTTTAAATTCATGTAGAGAACTCGGCCAAAGGATTGATGCACATTGAATTTCATGAAGCCAGGAGAGAATTCAGGCTCAGAGAGCCTGATCACTCCCCAAGCAGTGCCGCTGCTTGGGGACTATTACGAGGAGTTGACAAAAGTAGTCAAGACACTGTGGGAGAGAGCGAAGGAATATTTGCACCTGGAGGGAAGCGGTGTCGGCTCACTCTCGGGCCCCGCTGGGCTACAACTTTAGATCAAAGCCGTGACATATACTGTTGATCTCTACTTCAGCTCCGGCTCTGATGTCTTTCTGTGTACTCCAGGCTTCCTCAGTACTGGTGATCAGGCAGCAAAAGGAAACTATGGGCTCCTGGACCAGATTCAAGCTCTCCGTTGGATTAGTAAGAACATTGGTTACTTTGGAGGAGACCCGGGTCGCATCACGGTTTTTGGATCTGGAATCGGTGCCTCCTGCGTCAGCCTGCTGACTCTCTCCCACCACTCAGAAGGTAGGAACCACATTTTTGAATCATCTCTGACGTTGATCATTGAATCTTGAAGACGCCAGTTACTTTTGAAACCATAACTTTTAGTAATTTTGGAAATGTGTTCTTTGTTTCTAGTGCGGCTCTGAATAGAATGTCAGGGAGATTAAGTGTTCTGATATGTTAGCGTACGGCAAAGAGGGTGTTTGTTAAGTAAGTGATTGCTTTTGTTCCCCACCACTCAGTCTAATCAGCCTAAAAGCTTTGCCTCTTCAAACGAGAAGCTGTTAAAAAAGCTCTGGCATTATAAAGTTTTCACCACACCATTGCGTTCACCTGTGTCCATCATTTTACCATTTTAATCTGACAAATATTGACAGCTTTCAATTTGTTTACCCTCATTTCCTCAGCTACGTATGGTGGAAAGTTTCAAAGTTGGTCAGAGAACTCCCTGCCCTTTTTTATAGCTATTCATTATTTACAGAGCCTTGATTGAAGACGCTGTATACCAAAGACAAAGTCGCTGTGAGGATGAAGCACCAGTAAAAGAACGAGACTTCATTCTTTAGATCTTTTCTCCCCCTACCAACATTCACATTCCACTCCAGCTTCAACAAAAAAATCCATGCGATCAAATTGATTATTTTTGAAAAGACAATATAAATCAACAGGAATTCCATTAAATACCTCTCTAAAGAGTTTAAATTACATACAGGAAACTAGTATTTGTCATCCGCTGACAAAAAAAACAATTTTAAACTACGTTTATTTTTAGTGTATATAATGCCATTTGGTAAACACTCATTCAAAGCTCTTGCAAGAATCAAAGTTGTGTATTTCAATATGGTTTGCCCACAGGGAGTTGAACCTCTTATCGCATTGATGCTGGACAGAAGCACAAGGGCACATACTGTGTTTTTGCCGATGCCAGGGAGGCTGCGGCAACTGTCCTTTGTGAGCTTCGTATTTGATGCTCTAGCTCGGCTGCAGCGAATGCACAAAGACCTCCGGCTGTCTTTGAAGTAGACTACCTGCTGCCCTGAAAAAAAATAAAAATAAATGACAGCAACGCAAGAGACAGTGACACTGTCGCCTCACTATTTTTGAAGCGACTGCTGCGCTTTATGCTCAGCAGAGTATTTTTTGACTTGATACATATCGCTTGTCATTTCTAGATGATAGATACAAAATCCCCAGAGGCAAAGGGGACGCACTGCATATAAACAATTCAACAGAGCTTTGTTTATACTGTGTAAACATTGAGGGATCAGGGTTACTGCCCCCCCCACTGCAGATTTGGCTTCAGAGGTCTATATGAAACAATGGAGCTAGTTAGTAACAATAAGTAGTAACAATTCTACAATTGCAGTATGTGTGCAAATAACTGGCGTCCTAACTGAAACAATGCTACAAATTGATCATCAATTTGACTTGTGTTCACATTTAGTAATGACGCCACAAGAAACAAATAAAGGGATCAACAGAGAGAAGCAAGTCTATTTCCTAATCGAAATAGAATGGGACAGCATCATATTAGAAGCAAATTTCTTCCCCCAGCTTCTTTTTCTCGTCAGCAAGGCTGAATCCGGCGTTTTCCCTTTTTTCAATTTAATACTTTATCTGCCTGCTAATATTCAGTGACTCTACTATTATTTTCACTGTGTGTGAGTGTCTCACCATTGCATCTTTGCAAAAGTGTTACTGGAGGTACCCACTGTAGCAAAACTACCAGCTACTAAGGTTTGTGCTGAAATAAAATATAAACACTAACCACAGTTCTTTGGGCTTCTGTTGTCCTCTGTGTCTTTTTGTTCCAAATTCTTTTGCCCTAAGGTTTGTTCCACAGGGCCATCATCCAAAGCGGCTCAGCCCTGTCCAGCTGGGCTGTCAACTACCAACCAGTCAAGTACACTCGCATGCTGGCCGAGAGGGTCGGCTGCAACGTGCTGGACACTGTTGACATGGTCTCCTGCCTGCAGAAGAAGAGTGCGAGAGAGCTGGTGGAGCAAGACATCCAGCCTGCCCGGTACCGCGTGGCTTTCGGCCCTGTCATTGACGGAGATGTCATCCCGGATGACCCGGAAATCCTGATGGAGCAGGGCGAGTTCCTCAACTATGACATAATGCTGGGTGTCAATCAGGGAGAAGGGCTGCGCTTTGTGGAGAACGTGATGGATCTGGAAGACGGCGTGTCTGGCAACGACTTTGACTTTGCGGTGTCGGACTTTGTGGACAGTCTGTATGGCTACCCGGAAGGGAAGGACACGCTGAGGGAGACAATTAAATTCATGTACACAGACTGGGCCGACAAGGACAACCCGGAGACCAGGAGGAAGACCTTGGTGGCCCTCTTCACCGACCATCAGTGGGTGGAGCCCTCAGTGGTGACGGCTGACCTACACGCCCGCTACGGCTCGCCTACTTACTTCTACGCCTTCTACCACCACTGCCAGAGCCTCATGAAGCCGGTGTGGTCCGACTCGGCGCACGGAGACGAGGTGCCTTATGTGTTTGGCATCCCCATGGTGGGCCCAACTGACCTGTTCCCCTGTAACTTCTCCAGGAACGACATCATGCTCAGCGCCGTGGTTATGACTTATTGGACCAACTTCGCCAAGAGCGGGTAAGTAACAGCAAGTACATGTTGCTAACACAGCTTATTTACGTATAGTTGCAGTGTATTCAGTATCCAATTTTCCACTTCTTTCTTGCTCTGTGGTATGAAATAAATGACCTTGCTTGTGCTGCAGACTTTATGTGTGTTGAGAGAGAGAACCTTTAAATTCTGTCAGATTCGCCCTTCCTTTATCACGCTGATTGAAGGACTGTGAGATTCAGCCTTAAGTGGTGCTAATTAAGTGCAGACCAAACTCCCAGTGCCACGTCGTCCAGCTTTTGTCTACTCTTCTCCTCTGCTGGTTCACGAGAACTCTCACGCGTTGTTACAGTTTTTATCAATCAATATGAATTCTTTAACATCGATAGTTTATAAATACACCTCATCATTAACGGTTACTTCGTACTGTACATTTGGTCTGCTCCCCTTGTTTAGATTTATCGTGTACATTTACATCCATAGAATCACTGTCTGACATTGAAGAGAAAATGTGGAACGGCTTTTAGGATACATGCTATTAACCTCTGGAAATGTTATTGTTGTACTTTCAAGTAGGTTTGACACGAATAACCAGGAACAAAATAAATATATACTCCATGTTTTTTTGCTATTCTCAATAGTGTTACAGCAGAATGAAATGCCTTTGCCTTTATTAAAGGTACTGCACATAATGGAGTATGACGCTTTACAGTTACTGACTTTGGAGTGTCATTAGAAGCAGTCATATTTCAAAGTATTCCCAGGATGACAGCAGACATTTTCAGCATATGAAAGTTTTCCAATTTCCTTCAGTTAACCTGCACCAACAGTGACTCAGGCCTTAAAAAAACATCCCGTAGAAAGTGCAGCTTCTGCACCTACCTACTATTTTGCAATTTTGCATGTAGAAGCACCGGTTTGCGTGTCTGTTAAGAGACACAGTTGAACTGTAGTGGACGACTCTGCTGCTGCAGTATTCCTTCATATTAAATGTACAACAGCAATGAGTTTTATGTGGAAGCCCAGCAAAGGTCACTGTAGGCTGCTTATTTTCGTGGGTAGGAATGAGGGAATGCTGAGCCCTTGAGGAGAGACAGCGATATTACATTGTGTGTTGACTTCTGTCGATAAAGTTCTTATTTTTTACAATTTGACAAACCAGCTTTTCATTTTCATGTTCACTTACTACCGATGGGGTTGGGCTATGGAGTTGAAATCATTATCACACTATGAATGAGGATATTTTCCAACAATAATATATATATATATATATATATTATTGCAAAGCAAAATAGTAAACAATCAAACAAATGCTCAAAGTTTTCTCTCCGTCATATGTCTGCAGGGATCCCAACAAACCAGTGCCACAGGACACCAAGTTCATCCACACCAAGGCCAATCGCTTCGAGGAGGTGGCCTGGTCTAAGTACGACCCCTTCGACCAGTTGTACTTGCACATTGGCCTGAAGCCTCGGATCCGTGACCACTACCGCGCCACAAAGGTGGCCTTCTGGAAACACCTTGTGCCCCATCTCTACAACCTCCATGACATGTTCCATTACTCCTCCACCACCACCAAGGTCACCCCTCTGGATCCCACCCAGTCCAACGGTAAGAAGTCGGGCGGCACCGGTCGTACTCCTGTGTCAACAGACCACAATGGCGGCGAAGGGGGGAGGGAGATGGGCCCTCTGATCATGCCGAACCCGAGAGATTACTCCACGGAGCTCAGCGTCACCATTGCCGTGGGAGCGTCGCTGCTCTTCCTCAACGTCCTGGCCTTCGCCGCTCTGTACTACCGCAAGGACAAGCGCAGCCGACAGGACACGTCCCAGCAGCCCAGCCCCCAGCGCGACGGCAAAGGCAACAACGTGAGCCACACCACCAGCATAGACGAGACCCTGTCCCAGCAACGGAGCCAGTGCGAAGCCCTTCACAATCCTCTGCACGTCTCGCCCAGCATGGACTACTCGCTGAGCCAGCGCCGCTCCCCTGACGACATCCCTCTGATGAGCCCCAACAACATCACCATGATCCCCAACTCACTCATGGGCCTCTCCAACATGAGCCCGTACAGCACCTTCCCAGCTGGTTACAGCTCTGCAGGGCTGCCCAGCACCCACTCCACCACTCGGGTATAGCCTGGGAGGAGTTGAGGGAAGATATGGGGGGTGGGCGGGGAGGGGGGCATGTTGTACATAAAAATGGAAATGTAAAGCTATATTTAGGATGTGTAGGGAAATCAAATAGGATTGGATATGTTCGTTCCGTCTTTTCCAAAGGTGTACGACCGCCAACATTCTGCCTTTGCGCTCATAATAGGAAGTCTAACTGCAGAGTCATTTTATAATAACCATTTTCAAAGGCAAACAAAAAGAAAAAGTGCATTTCATTTTCCGCTTTGGCTTTTTTGGAACTTTACCTAGCAAGAACTTAGTATGATGTTTATACAGTTGGATTTGTATGGGAAGCTTTTTCTTACTATGTGATATCTATTTTGATCTCATGGAAGGAAGTGACATTATAACTCGTGGTGGACAGAGATGAGATCTGGAAGGGACTAAAAAGCAGTATTAGTATTAGTATTATTATCAAGCTATTTTATACATATTTCTCATGGTACATTGCTTATTATGAAAATGTATTTTTAATGTAATTACTTTAAAATGCCTTGTAACTAGTTCAAGTTAATGTGGAATCATGGATGGAAATCTTACTCAAATACAGGTCACACATGTGGAAAGTTTATCCAAAAATATTTCTGGTAGTGGAACACTCCTTTGTGTGTGGGTGTTTGGGTTTGTGCTGAGAAGTGCGCTATAAAAATGTAAATTAGGCATTGTTTGAAATTAACCATTCAGTTTGTAGTGATGTGTAATCTATTGTAGTCTTTTTAAGTGTCCCTGCTATGTCTTTATTTTACGTGTCCACAATTTAACTCAACGCATTGTAGGACTATAACTTCTCCTTTACTATAAAAAGAGAATTGCTTAAAATTCCCACACCAACCAACTCATGGCTCCTTTGGCTTGGCATCTTTGTACAGAATAGACCAAGATTTCATTTGTTGTTTGTTAACGAATATTATACGGTCTTCAGAAACATAATTGTAACTATGGTAATTGTATGTATAACAACTCAATTATTAACATTTAAAGGGGAATTTCAGGAAACTTACAGATTATTGCACCCACTCAAGTCCAAGTTCTTTGGACTTCGTGCATACGAAGATATATCCAGGGGTCACTCTTTATTGAATGGACGCGATGGACATCAAGCTTTGATATTTTATTTCTTTGAAACTATCATATGTTATTTAATCTATATACGACTACTATTAAAAGATTTTTGGAACTAACAATGACTCTTGTCCAAAGGATAATATTGTGTCCTTCAAAGTGTACAGTCTAAAGGAATACTGATAGCCGTGTAAAATGTGATGTCCAAAAGCTACACCGTGTCCGGGGTCGGTGTTAGAGTTGAGGTTCAATTAGCTCCTGTTTATGCCTCTCATATGCTAATGCATGACAATCACACAGCAAAGACTGTTTACAGTTCATGGACTGCACAAGTACAATATGTGGCATAGACAGGACAGTCTGAAACTAAAACATATTATTGGTTAAGAAAATTGAGACCAGCTTCATTTGTAGCACATGTCCTCATGTCCTCCAGATTCCTCCAGATTCCATTGATTGAGGTGAGAAGATGATAACTGTGAATGGGGGGTTGGGGTCAGGATTAAAACAAGAAAAGATATCTCAAACATTCTGTTGCTCATGCTGGTTAGCTGCCTTTTCAAAGTACTGTTATGTCACTAACATTAACGTCATTGTTGCTCTATTATACAATTTATCTTTACTTCATGAACTTTAACTACCATTCATATAGCCTTGTTTTAGGAGAATCGGAGAATGACTATACTTTCCAAACCTCACTTTCTTCGCAAAGTTCTCAGCCATAATCACTCATCAATTACAACATCGTGTTTATCTACCTTCAGCAACGGCACGGCCCTCTTTTCCCATCTTTCTTCAATATTCCTGCTTTTGCTCGTCTCCTCCTGCACTTCTCTGTTTAAAATGTGAAACGCACAGAGGGCCTGATTGCCGTTTCCCCAGGCTTCAAACACACAGCCAGCGGAGTCTCAGATAAGCGTGAAAGACAACCGAACAAGCATGCAAATTAACACTCTGTTGGAGTAATGCAGTGAAAACAATTCATTCAGGCACTCGCTGCAGGAGGTCATCGCCGCAGGATTCTCTTCTGAATGAGCTCGGCCTGTTTTTGTCCTCCAAGTTCTTGTTTGTTTGTTTGTTTGGTGCCTGTTTGTTCGTTATGTCACAAGATAACACACATTACCATAGCAGTGACAGAAGGGGCTGCAAATATTTTAACAGCCCCCCTCCCTTCCCCTTGTATCAACACATGCATATTACCACTTCCAGTGTGTAAATACTTGCACTTGCATTCATCACGCAGGAAACCATTATAAAAAATGACTCATACGTATATGCGTAGTGCACACGCAGTCACATTTATGCTCACAAAGGAGTCGCTGCTAGCCGTGGTGCTGATCGTGGTGCTGATCGTGGTATAGGTACAGCTTTGTTGTGATTATGCTAAACATATATTGATATATGCAGCCTAATTGCATTTGCTACTCCCTCGGAGAGTAATGTGTCAGTTCAAAATCAGTTCATACATTAACTAATAACTGTTAGGCCGTCTCATTAACTGGCACCTAATAATTTATCATCCGGGCTGCTCGCGTCCCCGACCACCATCTGCATCAGCTTTTGTGGAATATAGATCATTCATAAATTAATGAATTGCTGTCTTCATGTAACCCAAGCCAGCAAGTATTGCTAATTCACATCTCAAAAATAAAGCTGACACCGTTTAACACTCTCATGTACTGTGCTGAGGATAATTAATGCTACTCTTTTGTTTTCTTTGAGATTTCAAAGACATCCTCACTCTCTTTCTCCTCTGTTCATGGTAATTACTTAATCTGTCATTACTCCGTTTAAAATTTTTAAAAGGCCTTAAACTCTCCACGAACAATTCACCAATCTACAAGGATATTATTTTAACTTTCACATCCCCGTCCCTTTTATTTAAGTTAAGTTTTCCCTTTATCTCTTCTAGTTTGTCTACGGTCCTTGTGGTTAGTGTTCCAGCATTTCCAGTGTTAGGCTTCACTGCTTTGGGATTTTTGGACAATGTGGTACTTTGGCCTTATCGTGACTGATCCCCTGCTTCAGTACAGTATTTTTACTTACTACTAACCTCTCCCCAAGACTGCTTTTGAGTCCTTTTCTTCATTGGTTCAATATACCATCTTATATTGAACAAAAGACTCAAATTTGCACATTTTCAAAGTCACCAAATAATAGTTATCATCTAATCCAATAGATGTTTGGTTCTCTCCCTTGTTTTTTTGCATTTATCTCCATTTGGTCATGGGCTTAAAATAGGGAAGCAAAAATAAGATTAGGGACTTCTCCTAAAAAAATAAATAGTGTTTTCCCCTGCTCCACACTGGCTCCTTTGTACTGAACCCAGCTTTGACATCAACTGGGTCAAACATGAGGGAGGGAGGGAAGTAATGCAGCAGCTGGACCCGACCGTCAATGTCACCCTTGTTGGTCAACTTCATCGATGTCAGTCACTGACGTTTCGATTTATTTCACTCTTGTCTGTGCATACCTCTTATCACTGTTTGTTTTTCAGGATGCTGCTCTGAGGGCCCTCGGACCTGCTTGATGTATCTTGTTGACATCTAGCATCTGCGTGTGAAGACAGACAACGAATGCATATTAATAAAAAGATAAGCCATTAAAAGTTAATGAAATGCAACCTTCAAATCAACATGCACAATGATTATTATTAAACCTCTGAGCTTAAGACCACGACAAATGTAAGAATAGCCGTGGTAGATCCTTTCCATAAGTTGTGTATATTTCAGAGAATTGAGAATTGTGCAACTTTGCCCTTAAAAATAGATTGTATTATTTGATACGTATGTCATCTTGGTAAAGTGAAGTAAACTACCCAAATGTCTTTGTATATTCAATAGATTCAAAGAGCTCAAAACAGGAAATACTGTATCACCAAAAAATGAATATCAGAAATTATAAGCCATTCTTTGTCCCAATTCCTGAACCCATGGCTCCATAAATAATGTCTGGCAGCTGAAATGGGACTTTGTGACTTTAAGATGTGAGTTGAGGAGATGTGGTCTATCTATTGTTGATGAGACAAAAGCGCGAGTCAGATTCATATGGGAGTGGCAGGGAATAACTTCTCATATCCTCATATCACAGTCACAAAGCGACCCAGCAAAACTTCAATAAGCCCCGCACTTCTCTCCGGACATGGGTGAGTGCACAGAATCTTTAATAACTCTTTTTATCTGTTATTAATGTGATTTGAAATGGTGTCTTTCAATAACTTACTAAAGTTTCCTTTAGTATATGCTGCCTGCCCTTAGAGACATGTTGCCCATGTGCACTGTCCTGTGGGCAAGATTTTTCTGCAATTGAATCCCTTTTTTTTCATTTAACAGAAGTATTTTGATTTCGCAGATGGATCACTGACTAGCGCTGATTCACATTTATATGTGATATTGTATCATTTTTACATACAATAAGGATTTCAACAGACTGAAACGGAGGGCTCAGCTACAGACTTACTTGCTCTTAAATACAGCAGCTCCTCGTAACCTCTTCTAACCCCTTTTGTGCACAAACAAACAGTGGAATCACAGTGGCTGACAGAGATGGCATTGACTCTCAACATGCCACGGTCAGGGCAGGTCAAAGAGGTGAAAAGAGGTCAGAAACTCCCACGGCTGTCATTGGTATAAATTAGCAAATTTCCATCAGAGCTGTGGACCCAAATAACCTCGGGAGACCATTTCTTACAGACATTTTATAAAGCTTGCACGTTCTTAGCAGCATTTGAATGAATAATTAGTTATAATTACTAATTATTAGTGATGTCAGATCAGATGTGATTAGTGATCTACTGTAATTTTTACTTACTGCGTTGCACTGAGTGAAAATAAATGACACGATGGCCATCATCACTTTATCACTTTAGTCACTGCTGCAGCGGGGCACAGCTGAAGCGTGGGCGTCATTTTGGGAACTCTATCTGTTACTATTCATGACGCTGTGGTAGTTTGTTAAAATCACAGACCTAGTTCCATCCAACTAAAATCCCCAGAATTTGTGAAGTTGGCAAGAGAGAGGATGCTTTATCTCAACAATCAACGTCATATGTCTTCCTATTCCACTGAGATGTTTAATTTTGTTGCAGCAGTTTCCCTAAAACAAATATAATTGTTGATGATGTTGATAACTGTTGATGATTATCAGAATGTTCCATGGAACTAATAGCACTAAAATTGTTTAGCCGCCAAAGAATTTCCGAACGTGAAAAAACAAGATTGATAGGGATTGTTGTTGTTGTTGTTGTTGTTGTAGATATTCATATTGCTCGTCCCGCTCATTATGCTTCCACCCACTCTTTGAACACTTGAACCCAGCCTCCGCCGGCATTGACACTCACTGCGATGGTACCAGCCTCAGCCAGCTGTGGAGGGAGGATGGCCTGAGAAGTGATATCGACTGTATTTTAGAGTGTGACAGAGTGTGTAGTGTGACCCTTCTGTTACAGACGTACTACTTTGTGTGCGCGTGTGTGTGTGTGTGTGTGTCCGCGTGTTTTGTCGCACCATGGTCTTTGTTTATTTAACATCGCTGCCCTTTGTTCCTCCCTGATCATGGCAAGGACAATGGATATTGTCCCTGCAGCAACAAAGAGAAGCTCTTTCTTCAGGCCCCTGGAGCCAGAGTTTCACCACCATCTCTCACCCTCGCCTGGTGACGCCTGTAACCGCTGGACAAAGAGGGCAGGACCACAGCTCGTAGGGGCTGAGCTGTGAGGTGTTGGTACCAGCAGAGGAGCTTTAACATGCCGATGAAGTCAGCGCGGAGACTTATTTTACTGTAGCAACAGCTTGTAGACGGCGCTGCACATCTCTGGTTGGCACTGGGATCGCTCTTGTTGTGGAGTACGGGATCAGAAGCAGCAAATGTTTCCGGTCAGGCAGCCTTGGCTTTGCAAAGCCTTAGGTGCTTCTCTCTATCCCATTTCTGCCAATGCATTTATTAACACTGTGGATTTTTGCTACCTTTGCTTACAGTGGAGGAAGTGCTTGAGGTGGCGGTGAACTGCTTTGTTTGGACGCTTTTTTGGGGGGGGGAGGAATCGCTGCTTGAACTCTTGTTTGTCACTAATGTGGGGGTATTTTTCTGTTGCTTTCTTGCCTGTTGCTGGGGTTTGGATGTATGCTCATGGATTTTCAGACAGAGCGAAGCCTTTTTCCCGGCTCCCCCACAGGGTGAAAGGGTTCCCCGACGCGGCGTAGATGTGCTGTGTGCTTGTATGTGCGGTGTGTGCCGCCTGTGTGCTGATATATTATGCCCCCTCAGGTTGTTATGATTGCTGTATCCGGTGCATTGGGGCGGTGCCCTACCCGTCCCTGGTGGCCACCCTGCTCTTCTATGCCGGCGTGGCCTTATTTTGCGGCTGTGGGCATGAAGCGTTGTCCCAGACCGAAGTCCTTGTCGAGACTCACTTCGCCCGCAACGTTCAGGACTTTGTGGTCTTGGCCTCCTTGTGAGTGATGCTTCAATTAATTCTCTCTGATTGTGACTTTTTGGCCTCTCGAAAAAATGGTTTCCTTTTTTTACTGTTTGACATCAATACTCTTCCTGTGACTGTTCCAGTATCAAGTACTTCCAGTTCGTGATCTACGGCCTGGCGTCGTTTTTCTTCCTCTATGGAATCCTGCTGCTGGCCGAGGGTTTCTACACCACGAGTGCTGTCAAGCAGACGTTCGGTGAATTCAGGAGCACCCACTGTGGCCGCTGCCTCAGCCTGACGGTGAGCGCGAGGAGAAGGGACAGGGGGGGAGCAAAGAGGGAGGGGAAATATGACGTCACTGTTCAGATGCTGAATGCTGGTTTTGTTCTTGCTCAGAATTTCAATGAAATGTTCTCCATTTTCACAATTTCTATCTAAAATCCCGGTTGATATTTAAATTAAATGAAACCACATCTACGTGAGCTGATGTCCCGCCCTTTCTTATTTCAACAGTTTATCATAGTGACGTACATCTTGGCTTTCATCTGGCTGGCAGTGTTTGCCTTCACTGCCATCCCGGTCTTCTTCTTGTTCAACATGGAGCAGACCTGCCACAACATAAACCTCCTGGCTGAAACAACACCCAGCATTAATCAGCACGGCTGGATTTGCATGGATGCCAGGCAGTATGGTGCGTTGTCCTTATAACGACCCGACCGGCCGGCACACTCCCCGCCTGACTAGAATGCCAATATGTCTGGGAAAGCAACAAATTCATCACTGGGGAATGGACGCAAAACTGCTAGTTGAATAAGTTATAAAGTAATGGAGATAACTGCAGCTCAACTTAATTTATGCAGGTTTGTGTCCCTGACATGCATTATGCAAGCAGGGACCTAAATGCGTCATAGCTCATCATTCATCAGCGATTGCAAGAGACACTTATGTCATGTCTTGATTTAAGGTCTGCTTCCTTGGAACGCAATGCCAGGGAAGGCTTGTGGAATGACCCTGGCCAATATTTGCAAAACCAGCGAAGTGAGTAGCCCAAATCCAATATTCCCTTTCACAGGGTTTAGTATTGTGTCAGCATGCTGAAGTTAAAATCAATGTGTAAAATCAACTGATATTGTGTGGTGAGTTGATACTTTTTTTTTATTTAATGAATCAGTTCTCTGAATATAAACCAACATGTGTTTGATATGTCTTACAGTTCCACGTCACCTACGACTTGTACATAGCTGCATTTGCTGGTGCCGGGATCGCTCTTTTGGCACTGGTAAGCAGAAAATACCATTATATAAGCATTCAAAGGTAGTATGTGTAAGACAAAAAAACACTCTAGCAAAGAAATAGTTTCATCACAGTATTGAGATCAACGGTAAGAAAAGTCCGGTTTCAATTTAGGTACCATAAAAATCCTATTGGATGTTCAACAGAAATATAAAAAGGTATTTTTCTCAAACACTGTACAACCCGCCGGCCTGGTACCCCTTTGAGGCAAGTAAGAATGAATGTTTGTTTGTTTTTTGGGGTGAATCAACCCTTTCAAAATGGTTCACATATTTTAAGATATTTGACCTTTCCATTCTTTCCACCTCCATCCCAATGTCTTTCTTTGCAGTTTGTGTATTTGGCTGCCACCACCTACAATTACGCGGTCTTGCGGTTCCTGGGGAGGAAAGGCGTCCGCTAAGGACAACGCATCTGTCCCTGTCAACTCCATCTCCTGGCTGTGAAGGGGAGACAGTCAACACGGGACCTCCCTCCATCCTCTGGGAAACAGTACACTGCCAATGTGGATCACCTGCTATAGTTTTTCTTTACACGAGTCCGATAACAGACAAATGTTTACCATCACTGTTTTTTTATGAACAACAGGCAGAGAGATGAAGATAATTCACATCCAGCGTCCTCCTCTTCGAATCCTCCTCTCAGATGATTCTCTTTGCTTTGTTGTTCATTCTCCTCTCACTTTCGTTTATGCTTTGTTTTTTGCAAAGCCTCTTTGGTGCTGGTGCTGTTGTCAGATTGGGTTGTGTGATAATTGCATGTATGAATAATTAAGAGCAATGACAGCTCGCCTTGCAAATCATAACTACATGCAAGCCATTCAGTGTTTAGTGATCCATGTATGGTTCTGAGTAGGATTTTGTCTCTGCTGCCTCATTATTACCATCTTGTGCAGCAACGTTGTGTGAACTAAAGCAAGGGATGCTGAATGTACCAAATCTCCTTTCATCTCCTTCCGTGCTTCCACTGACAACACATGTACTTTGCTTTCACTCAAACATTTTTGCTTAATTTAAATGCCACTGCGTAGGAGGGACACAAAGACATGTATCCATTTTCTGGATATTTGGGTTACTGCTTAAAATAAGCTGGTTTTATGTTACTGAGGTGCCGACGCTTCAATAACAGGTGGCTCATATTTGATGTGTAGCCCTGCTACTTACCGGGCTGGTTGGTGTGTGTGTGTGTGCTCATTTTTAATTAAGGCGAAATAAACCATTTTAATCTGAAGTAATCATTTGTTTTTATTGAAACATGTATAGTATGTCAATATTATTTGATTGTATCTCATAAAAACATCTTTGGCAACAGTATGCTGCCACATCCTTTCGTAGAACAAATATTTCCGGATATAATGTCCTAAAACATCTTTCAGGACAGCGTAACTGCAGGTTATGCTTTGAGTCTTCTCCGGGTCATATTCTGCCCGCTTAGGTTTCGATGTTGAGAGTTTCTGCAAAGCAGGTGTCACATTGGACCCCTTGGTCATGCGAGAACAAGGGAGTCAGCAATTCTCCCAGGGGCTTTGTACACACATAACACTGCAAAGAAATACTCAACATTAACATTAAGCAACGATAAGAGCCTTCAATAATAGACGGTATGTAGCGTATGTGTGGCAGAACCAACCTTTAGACAGTCAGGATGGCAGGTCCACGCAGGGACACTGAACAAGATCTTGACATTTCCAGCAATGATTTTCTCACAGAATGAACAAACGTTGCTGTTCCTGGAGTGGAGAGAAAGAGTTCAAAAGATTATCACCAATTTTAACCAAATATACTAAATATCTGGAATTCCAAATTGTGAGAAATTGTGAGAAATTACCTTTTCTCATTCTGAGTTTGTGTGGATTGTGGATCCTTCTTGGATTTTTTAGAGATGTCCGAGCTAGAAAAAAATAATGATAAGCAAACAATGAAGATGCATTTTATGCACACGTGAAAACCAGAGAATATGTGATTTGGTTCCTTTTTTATGAGAGCTTACTTATTGGCATCATCAGAGGGCTGGTTCCGCTTGGTCTCCTCAGTGCGGGATTGTTTTGGATCCTTTAGGGGCTCAGCAGCCACTTCAGTTGTCGGTGGCTCCTCATCTGATGATTCTGACAGTTCAATGAGTCTGTAAGAGAACTTATCCTCAACAGCTTCAGCATCTGAAGATGTCACAGGTTCAAAAGTACCGTTGATGATAAGCTCCCCCACATGATCTGCTGCTCTTTCAGTGTTTGGCTCAGCACTTTGCTCGATAACAGGGTTGTCAGCGGGCTGAACTTTGTGCTCAACTACCTCTTCAGGTCCGGTCTTTACAACTGGCTTGGCTGCGGCCGCAGCCTCGACTCCAGATGCTTCAGGGTTCACTGCACTCTCAGCAGCAGCTGTGGCAAGTGATTCAGATGCAGTGTTTGCCACATTGACTGGAAGTGGAGCATTTTCACCTGCAGCCCGAGTCACAGCAGGTGTCTCAGGTGATGATTCCACAGCAACATCCGCTGCAGCTTCAACACTTTCCCCAGTAGCTTGTTCTGGAGGACCTTTCTCACGATTCCCCTCTGGAGCAGTTTCAGTAACGCGTTGAGAGGGCCCCTCACATTCAGGTTCTGCCAATAAGTCAGGCACTGGTTCCACACTGATCTCTAGCGCGGCTTTGTTTCCAGGTGTGGTCTCCAACGTGTTGCTTTGAGACTTTGTCACAATGTCAGCGACCGCTTCGGCGCTCTCTTCAAGGACAACCTCTTTTACAAGTGTTGCATCAACAACGTTACTTATCTCAGGGGATGGCGCCACAGAAACCTCAGCTTTAGCTTTGACAATTTCTGCTGCAGCTTGTTCTGGAGGACCTTTCTCACGATTACCCTCTGGAGCAGTTTCAGTAACGCGTTGAGAGGGCCCCTCATATTCAGGTTCTGCCAATAAGTCAGGCACTGGTTCCACACTGATCTCTAGCGCGGCTTTGTTTCCAGGTGTGGTCTCCAACGCGTTGGTCGTGTTCGATGAAGGCTTTGTCACAATCTCAGCGACAGCTTCGGCGCTCTCTTCAAGGACAACCTCTTTTACAAGTGTTGCATCAACAACGTTACTTATCTCAGGGGATGGCGCCACAGCAACCTCAGCTTTAGCTTTGACAATTTCTGCTGCAGCTTGTTCTGGAGGACCTTTCTCACGATTACCCTCTGGAGCAGTTTCAGTAACGCGTTGAGAGGGCCCCTCATATTCAGGTTCTGCCAATAAGTCAGGCACTGGTTCCACACTGATCTCTAGCGCGGCTTTGTTTCCAGGTGTGGTCTCCAACGCGTTGGTCGTGTTCGATGAAGGCTTTGTCACAATCTCAGCGACAGCTTCGGCGCTCTCTTCAAGGACAACCTCTTTTACAAGTGTTGCATCAACAACGTTACTTATCTCAGGGAATGGCGCCACAGCAACCGCATTTTGTTCGACTACAATTTCTGCTGCAGCTTGTTCTGGAGGACCTTTCTCACGATTACCCTCTGGAGCAGTTTCAGTAACGCGTTGAGAGGGCCCCTCATATTCAGGTTCTGCCAATAAGTCAGGCATTGGTTCCACACTGATCTCTAGCGCGGCTTTGTTTCCAGGTGTGGTCTCCAACGTGTTGCTTTGAGACTTTGTCACAATGTCAGCGACCGCTTCGACGCTCTCTTGAAGGACAACCTCTTTTACAAGTGTTGCATCAACAACGTCACTTATCTCAGGTGATGGCGCCACAGCAACCTCAGCTTTAGCTTCTACAATTTCTCCTGCAGCTTGTTCTGGAGGACCTTTCATACAATTTCCCTCTGCAAGCTGCACAGTTGATTGTACTTCTGCATGTTCTAATTGTGTTGCAATGTCCTGCTCTGTTTTGGTTGCAGGTTCCTCTTTGGGTTTAGGTTTGACTGCAGGAGCTACACAGGTTTCTGCCTCAGGGTCTTGCACATGGGCATTGGCTGAGACCTTGGCCTCACTGTGTTCTTGGTTTGACTGCTCAACTGTTTTATTAGTTTGTTCTCCCTTGTTTTCTGTAGTTGTGTTGGCAACTGCCTGCTCAGCTGGTTGCACGGGAGAAACTGCTTCTGGATTTCTCTTTGTTGAAGGAATTTCATGTGGTTCACCATTTTGGATTTCTTCTGTAACATGAACTTCTGCAGAGACGTCGGCAGTCATGTTGGCACATCTTTCTTCTGATTGGGTGTCATTTTGGATAATTTCTTCTGTGGGTGCTTGCGGCCTATAACAGAGGGAGTTATTTATTCCTAGGTATACAGAAAAGACATATCAACAAACATCCCTCGACTCAGCATTAGTTACACTCAATGTAGGGAACTCTCATACTGACTTTGCATCATCTGTGGTCTCCACTGTTGACCCCTCAGGCTGAGCATCTTCTTGGGGAGGACTAACCTCCCCATTTGCCTGATTATATAAATCACTAACAAATAAGCCAGAAAAGAAACCTATATTTATATATGTGCATGATGATATGCATGATTTTTAATGTATCTGCATTCTGATGCTATTTATTTATTGCATTTGAATATCTGAAAAGTGGAAGGCTTATTTTTGTAACCGGAACCTAGATACTTTTATTTTGAAGACACTGTTCTTTAACTTCCGGTTTTGTTCCTCGGGCTAGTGATGCTAGGTGTTTAATGCTAGGAAGAGGAGGATGGGGCTCTTTTAAAACATAGATGCTTCATTTAAATGTGCGGAAGCGAAATGCACGTACCGGTGGCTGTAGACTGTACACTGCCCCGTGGTTCATCATTTTAAGTGCTTTTTTCCCCGATAAAGCACCAGACGTCACATGATTGTAACGTTAGCTAACGTTAGTTTACAAATGTAACGTAACGGTTCACGACGTCACACAACCGGGGCCACGCGACGAGTCAACTACAACTAAAAAGTAGTACGACGTCTCCCAGACACCAGTAAGTCAGCTGTTACTGCATGATGTATACCTACATTATCACCTTTAGTCAGTACTTGTGTCAAATTTGACCCCGTTTCTGCCTTCATAGGTTGACTAGAGGTCTCTCAAAAAGATCCCATCACACGGCAGGTTTAACAGGTTTAAGTGATGTACTTAGTGTATCCTAAGTTTTATTTATATTCCTCTTAAATGAGTGAATCCTAATACAACTTTAGCCTGAGGAGATTCATTGGCTCTGTTTCTGGACCTTTGTCCTTGTAAGCAAACAGTTGAAACAGCAATCTTTGAAACTATGCTCCTATTTCTTTTTGTAAGATAATTGCATAATTTGGCTGATTGCGTGTATCTCATTTGTTTATTGTGTTATTCATGCTTGCGTTTTTCTTTCTGCACTACACCAGAAAGAAATGCCATCGAGAAATCATCTTGACAAAGTCGGTCGGAAGAAGAAGAAGAAATGGGCGGAGGAGGCCATGGAGCGTGCGCTGATCGAGGTGAAGTCAGGGAGGTGTACTGTGAGACAGGCTGCCAAAGAGTTTGGAGTCCCTAAGTCTTCCCTGGGGGACAGAGTCAGTGGACGGGTGACACCGGGGAGTCGCAGCGGGCCAGCTCAGCTCATAACCTCTGCAGACGAGGATCTGCTGGTGGAGTTCTCTTTATACGTGTCCAAGCATGGTTTCCCACTGACGAAGCAACAGCTGGTGTCCTTCGCCTCGTCCATTTATAAGCGGCAGCATCGGAGGGTGGCGTTTTCGAAACTGGGCCAGACATGGTGGCTCAATTTCAGAAAACGTCAAGAAAAGAACATCACCATTCAGCCAGCAGACAATGCTCTCCGCGGGAGGACAACGTGTGTGAGAAAAGAAGCGGTGGATCAGTTTGTGCATTTACTGAGCACCGTCATGGACGCCCGTGGGCTCAGAGACAAGCCGCAACAAATTTTCAACTGCAGCGAAACGGGATTTCAGCTGGGCAGGAAGAGAGTGATTCTCCCCAAATCTGCCAGTCTGGGCTACAAGCCAACGCAAGGCTTGAGGGACCACATCTCCGTCCTGGCTTGCTTCAGCGCAGCTGGAGAGGAAATCCCCCCATTTATTATCTACTCCAAGGCATACCCAGGGGGAGTGTGTTACAAGACTCAAGGGCCTCCAAATGCCCTGTACGGTTGGTCAGACTTGGGGTATATCAACTCTGACCTTTTCAAGAAATGGTTCCTCAAGCACTTCCTCGTGCACGCGCCAAAAGAGCGTCCGCTGCTGCTGATTTTCGATGGTCACAAGTCTCCCATAAACCTTGAGGTGGTGGAAACGGCCCGTAACGAGGACGTGGTCCTCCTGTGCCTCCCTCCGAACTGCTCTCACATCCTGCAGCCGCTCGACGCGGGTCTCTTTGTCCTCCTGAAGCAGCGCTTCGCCGCACTCATAGGTGACGGTTCTGCCTCCGGTACTCACTTTGCAGTCAGCAAGAAGGAGTTCTCGGGCGTGTTTAAAGGGACTTATCAGGTGGCGAAAGAGGAGGAGGGCGTAAGGATCGTGAAGGAGGGTTATAGGAAATGTGGCATCTTCCCGCTGAGCCACTTTGCCATCAATGAGGGTAATTTGATGCCATTGAACGGCGCGTGCCCAGCTGCTGGACCCTCCCTGTACACAGCAGCAGGGGGAGTGCACGCTGAAGGAGACCTCACAGCAGCTGGACCCTCGTCGTGAGTGGCCATCAGTAGATCTACTAGCTTTGCAATATTTTCTTATTCAAGCTAACTAATATTTATCAGCATGAATCACAGACAATAAACTGTGCTTGATTGCTGTTTTAGTGGAGTAAGCGGTGTAGTAGTCTGCTAGGTAATCTAAGTGTATTCAGCTAACATATTAAAGCATGACAACAGATTCACCTCATGGTTCTTAACACGTTACAAGGAGATTTAAGTCTAAGCCACACTGTCAAATATTATCTTGTTTCAGTTCTGTTGTGAAAACTTATAGAGAATATATATCCGATTACCTTTTTTGCAATGTTGTTTTTGGTTCAGTATCCATGCAGAATATTTGAAAAAAGATGAACATATTAAACTTGTTCTAAAGCTACTTCCTTTTTCTGATGTTCATGCCTACTGCAAAACAAACACATAACTAATTGGTCAAATGTTTTTTGAAACTGATGGGAGGGAAACGCTTCTTTGAAAAGGCTAACTCAGTTCATTTGAGTCATATTATTCTTTGAGTATTCTTAATGTACTTGCCCATGCCCATTAAGTAGTTCTAAAAGTAATTTACTTTCTGAGTAATAATAAATGTGCTGACTGTAAACAGTATTTAACCATTGCAGAACAGATCTTGATCTGTTTAAACAAAGTAAAAGAATATGACTTATCATTGAATGCCACGTTACCCGAAAGCATCTTAACTTTTTTATGCTCCGCAAAACGTAGAGAATAGTATTCAACACACGTGATCACTAAATATTGATGGCTAGTAAAGTATTTGTAAAGCTAAAAAAAGTGGTTTATCTCCTTGGAATGTCTATTGGCCGAAATAACGCTTTTGGTGTTGAAGGGAAACCATGCGCGTAAAGAATCTGTTTGTGGAAATATTTAAGTATACTTAATAAGTATTCCCATCAATGTATATATTCACATCAATGCTTCATCAACTACCTGAAGCTCTACACTCTCTGGATGTAGCGGAGATCGTGGGGATCAGTTCATGTTTATGTTGGTAAATATCACTGATTGTGGTTTGTCGCTGAAGCCTTTTATTATTTCACACAACAAAGTCAAAGGAGAAATCACATCCACTGATGATGGGGAATCACTGCTGTGGTTCACCGGTTTGAAGCAACTGCTTCTGTCAAACTGGCGACATCTTTGGGCCAAACTATGCTATTGCGTTAGTATGCACAGCTCTGCTGTGTTGACAGCTCTCTGATAAGAATCAAACAGCTATTTCTACTTGGCAACGTGTCGTTGCGATAAAGATCTTTTGTCAGGTGCGTTGCTTTGTCCTCCTGAGAGATCTAGATCTCTTTTCCATCGAAACTTTGATCTCCTATTTCATTCTTGCCTTGGTTTGACCTATTTTTTTCATCCAGTTCCTGTTGAAGTTTCTGGGGAAAAGCGTTGATACGCCCCTCTCTCTGATACTCACTCAAACTTCTTTGCTAAGGACTGGACGGATGTATGCCGCGGGACTGAGGACATCTCCACATCATGGCCTTTCCTGCAAGACAGAGGAAGCTGCTGAGAATCTTCCAGTATCCATATTTTTACGCACTTTGTTGTTTTGCTGGAAAGCATCAGATTTGGATCTGTAACTTTCTCTTTATATTTTATTTACTTTAAATTATAACTTTGATTTTTGGATGTTGCATCTTAGCGTCTGAGACTACCTTGCTCCTTCTTTCTCCTTGTTTGACTTCTGACTCTGGATCCAACAGCCATCCTTTTTCAGTAAAGTCCGCACCCTGGTAGTTTTAAACACTTTGTTTCTGTTAACCTCTACAACACACACACACACACACACACAAAAAAAAAGACACCCACATTTTGTGTATGAGTACCAGGAATAATAGCGCTGTTAGTCTGATTTATGTGGGTCTTACCCTCCGACATGATGCTGGTGTTTCTTCAGATGTTCAACCTGATCAAAGTATTTGAAAATACGATTTTTCCATTTTATTGCCGGTTTGTTTTTAAGTTTCCTTACAAATAAAACAGTAACAACAGTGTATAAAACTGTAATATACCATATTGGCTTCTGTTTAGCCGTTTCTCTTTCTACACTCACCACTGACTTCAGATTTTTGGGAATTAACCTGCATCTCATACACAACCAGTTATACTGCATTCTGCGGCATAATTCACTCTGTATGTAAATAGGACATTGAAGTATTTATCACATCTCTAACCACTCTGAACAACTACTGTTCTTCAAATCTGAACTGGGGAGCGTTGATAAAAAATGTAATTATAAAATGTTTACACAACGCACAACGTTTGTTCTCATGAAAACATGGTTGGAAAATGTTAAACTGGACACTGGTGGAGTAATGTTAAGTAAGATATTAGTCTTCATATTTGTTAGGGATCTTAACCCGTCCTGTGTTCACAGTGTGTGTCCTGGTCTGTATTCTTTTTAGGCTCCACTTGACATTTTAACCTGCACTTTTGCGTTTTAATCCCTTGTGATAAATCTCACAGGGGACGAGCCATCACCAATTAACCAGGTCAAATCCATTATGCAGAGAAAATGTAAAACTGTGGCTCCGTAATAAAACCTCATTGCCGCATAGCCACATTGAAAACAGAACCATCCATCCTTGCACCAAATTGTGTTCTCACCTGTTGAGGTCAGCTGTCAGAGCGGAGTGGTGTCGAGCTTCTCCTGGGTATCTGTCTCATTCAGGTGAGGTGTAGTAGTATATCAACCTGAGCCCCCCCCCCCTTCAGAGTCCACCCACTGTCAGTGTCGAGCACCTGGACGCCGTAATGCGGGGGTTGGCTTCCATCCGAAAGTTGGCAGACGTGGTGCATTCTTTCATAGCTTTAGGTTTCCTGAAATGTAACATTGCAGAAAGGTGCGTTTCACACACCATTTCTGAAGGGTGAGACAACAAACCAAAAACCTGCTCACTGGTTTTATCTCTTTTTTTGCCAGCTGTTGATGTACAATACGCTGAAGGCACTTTTGTGTGAATATGTGCAGAAATAAAACACTGCAGCTCAAAGATTTCACAAGAACAAACTTCTGATGTTTCTCTTTTGTGAAAAAAATGTGTTTCCTTTCCAAACGGGCAGCTCAAGAATCATAAAAGACCGGTTCTTAAGCTATGTGGAATTTAATCCACTGAGCCGTTCTATTTTATCAAAACAGAATGTGCAACTTTTCCTGAGAAACTGTTGCAGGCCGCTGCCAAATGTTACATCATTTTCCATTAGAATGGAATGGACAGAATTACGATCAACTCGAAAGTTTTGACTGACTCCTTAATGTAATTAAAAATAGAAATTCTCAGCATGCCTGCATACAGTGGTTGGCGACTGCAAATGGCATAGCTAAATAGTGCTAGCACACATTCTTTTTTTCGTCTCACACTAAACTCACAAACAGCGTAAATTCAGCCTTGTGTCATCTCATAACTGACGTTTTGTCTTCTGTTGAAACACTTGTGCTGGTTAAACAAGACAAGTTAACGAGACCTTTAAGTAACTAAATATTTGTGGAATCTGGTAGAGCGTCCTCTGTTGGTTTGCTTCCGTGATCCTCAGTCCTTTGTAAAAATTCCTATCTTTAATTATCACACCAACATGTATACTGTGTTGTGTTGTGTATAAGTGTAGTGCTCAATCATTATGGTGGAGAATGAGGAAGGTACATTCTGTCCCAACTGCATTCTGTGCAACGCAAAAAAACATCATAAAAGGTACAGAGTGAAAAGAGATCTCCTTAAGTTTTAAAACAAAAATGTATCTTTTGTTACAATTAAATTGCAGACTGTTCTATTGTGATTACACAGTATAATACAAATGTAAAAATGAATAAATGTGTAATGGCACGTGTGTTGTGTCTTTGATGTTTAGGTATGTGTGCTATGTGTCTCACCTGTTGTCCCCTTCGGGACAAAACTGTTAAGTTGAAAGTTACTGACAGCCTTGTTTGGTTTTGACATTTGCTCTGGCTGCTTACATTTTTGTGTATTTGCTTTTTCATTTTTCACAAATAAGACTGCAGGGATTTATATTATATGACTTATTGGCAATAAATGTTTCCTGATTCCCGATTGTATAGCTAGCAAATTCTGATGACATATAACACAAGTTAACTTTCAAGCTATTTAATTTACTAGAAATCAAAGGCAAGTTGAATTTTGATCATGTCTGACATGCTATTCTCTGCCTCATATTTCCCTAACTTCAATACTGCACATGTGTATAAAAGGTATATCAGATGTAAAAGAAGAAGAGTAAATGAAAAACCTAGAAACTGTAGAATATTTATATACCTATATTCTCTGATCCCAGCTGCAGTTTTGATGTTATTTAGACATACTTTTAAAAATACAATATGAAGATTCACATGGTGGAATGTAGTATCTTCCAATTCACGCGTGTTCATGAACGCACCTTTTCCTCACGCAGATTTCTAGATAGTTGCTACAGGAAGTGACGTCACTCGTTGAATCGAGGCTTCCTTTTGTCGTGTGGTAGCAGCAACGTAAGTGCTACTTATCGATAAATATTTTGTAAAACGCCGAAATTCTGAATTTTTGTTCTATTTTAATAACGCTTTCTGAAATACTTACGTATAAAGTAGGCAGGTGAGACGAAATTTCACTGCTTTCCTCCTCAATACTGTTGTCAGATAAGGCTAGCATGCTAGCATCTTATTATTTAGCTATACTGGCTAACTGACTAGCTTGTTTACTGTAACGTTACTTTATCAACAACTAACAGCCGTTTGTCTTAAAACAGAGTGCGATTCACAAAGACAACAGTGTAGTTGTTAATCTTTTGAATCATACCATTTGATCCGTTAAAACGTGTTTTACGATTGAACAAATTAGTTTGAATGTAACTTGTGCCTCAGTCCTGAAATTCGTCATTTCACTAATGCTGACGTTAAGTTAGTTAATTCTCTGTCTCTCAACCATAGTGAATCATGCTTATACTAACGTCATATACACTTGCATTATCACACATCCACCATACTGTAAATGTTCCTTTAGAATATATGTTTTCTGTTTAGCTAGTTGGCAGTAAATGTACTCACTCTTAGATTAAGACACTTACAGACACTCTTGTTTGTTCCCCTTTTATGTGCGACTTCAAAGCCATTAAAGATGACTACAGCTGCTAGACCAACATTTGAGCCCGCCAGAGGAGGGAGAGGTAAAGGAGAAGGAGGAGGGGATCTGAGTGCCCTGTCTAAGCAGTACTCCAGTCGAGATCTTCCAGGTCACACCAAGATCAAGTACAGGTATGTTAACCAAGTATGAGTGGATTTAGATCCAAGGGTTGTAATCAGTGTGTCGCTGAGCACACTGCAGGGTTGATCGGCACTGATTTTATTTCCATCATGTAACTTTCTGAATTGTTCCCGCTGCACCTTCTGTCCACTCATTCTGAAGGTGGATTAATGCTGGAATCAAAATATTGTTTGGGTTTTTCCTGAAAAAATGTTTTCCCATCATAAGGCAACCTACCCAGGATGCCCCAGAGGAGGTACGTGCCCGTGATTTCCGCAGGGAGCTGGAGGAGCGGGAACGTGTAGCTGTGCGTGAAAAGACAAGAGAAAGGGGACCAAGAGGTTGGTTTGATCTGTAGAAACTTGTTAAGCATGTTTTTAGTTAGTAATTCTGGCCAAAATTTTAATTTTATTTAAAGTTTAAATCCACAAAACACTAACTTTCCAGAGCACACAACATCATCCTCATCTTCGTCATCCTCTTCAAAGAGGCCCAGACTGGACCAGATCCCAGCAGCCAACCTTGATGCTGATGACCCTCTCACTGATGTAAGCTCTGGCACTGCACACTAGGGCCTGATTAGCATTTGTTAGACTCCCTCACCAATGTTGCTTGGTTCTTTATAGGATGATGAGGACGAGGACTCTGAGGAGGACAGTGATGATGATGACACTGCAGCTCTTCTCGCAGAACTGGAGAAGATCAAGAAGGAGCGGGCTGAAGAGCAAGAACGCAAAGTAAACTACAATTTCATCCTGGAGTGTTTGAACAGGCCAGATAGGACATGGGTTTTATTTGTGAGGAGGCAAATCCCTCATTTAGTGACTTTGTTTCTTCTCCCATCTTAGGAGCGGGAGCAAAAGGCAGAGGAGGAGAGGATTCGCATGGAGAATATCTTGAGTGGCAATCCATTGATTAATTTGGCAGGGCAACAACAGCAGCAGCAGCAACAACAACAACAACAGCAGCAACAGCAGCAGATTACCCAGACTCAGAATACCTTCAAAGTAAAGAGAAGGTATTTTACAAACCCAGATGTGTGTACAAGACACAAGTGTTGTTTCAAGAAAGAAGTTTACTTTACTTTCCTCTAACAATCAAAATGTAATGTCTCAATATCTTTCTAGGTGGGATGACGATGTTGTTTTCAAGAATTGCGCCAAAGGAGTAGACGATGCAAGGAAGGAGAAACGCTTCATCAATGACACACTTCGCTCTGAGTTCCACAAGAAATTTATGGAAAAATATGTAAAGTAAAGGACTGTCTGTTTTTTATTCATCTCATCTGTTAGGTATCCGACCTAAAGTTAGATGGCATTTAGATCCATTCTATTCTCTAATGCATTCTTATTTGTACACTCAGCACATACAAGCTTGTATATAAATGAGTTGATGTCATCCTTTTGAATAAAGCTCATAAAAAGTTGAATTAAATTGTAAGATGTGATTTGACACCTGAGTCTTACTGTATTTTTTTTTTAAATTGATTTCAATAAAAAAACAACTTTAAGTCTGTTAAAAATGGCTTGCAGGAAAAAAAATTTATTTATTGTGGGGAATATATTTTCCTCACGTACGTTTTTAGAGTTTTTCTTTTACTTTGATATCTTATTTTTAACATAACAGGGTTTATATAAATCTGAACTGTTAGGAACCGTCAAATTAAATAGCTTCATGTACAGTATATAATGACCTTGGTTACAAATGTTATTATAGTATAAAGGTTATTCTACATATCTATCAAATCATTCCATTTTCATTATTTTTCCAATTCAAGTTATACTTGCCAACAGTCAACATTTATTACATGAAAAGGGTATAAATATCAAGGAATGAGGAACCATTTTAAGTGTGGTATTTATGGGAAAGGATACACAATACATGTGCACGTAAAATACTTTGCCAGAAAATGTTGGCTAATAGGCCCTATTGAAATGCACAGCGATGTGTGGTATTCCTGCTATTTTCAAGACAAGTTGTTCGATTGTTCATTAAAAAAAGTACGAGGAGCAGTGACGGTCACGCGCCACTAGAGGGCGCCCCGTCCGACAACCGCCTCCGCCGGGGACGGGGACTGGGAGGCTGTCGGGAAAACATGGCAGCTTCCTTTTGTTGGTGGGGATTTACTGCACTCCGAGGGGGGGTTTAAAACACATCCCTCCGCGAGGACAGACCGATCCGAGTCGGTTTTCCCCGCACCCGCCTGTCCTCAAAAAAACACTCGAACCAGGAGGAACATGGAGAAGAGCGGCAGCGTCGACAGTTTGGGCTCCAAGCGCTCCTCCTCCCGGCAGCCCAGCGTCGACTCATTGTCCAGGTAGCCGAGCCCACCGCGACGCCTTCCCCGGAGCTAACGCTAGCTGCACAGTCTAGAGAACTGTGTGTACGTGCTTTTATAAAACGTGAGCTGACGCGGCTCCTGACGCGCCGCTAGTAATCGTTCATTTCTCCGCGTGAGGTGAACGCGGTGAACGCACGCGACTGATGACAAGCCTTCCGCCCGGCTGTCTTCGTTAATTAACTGGTTGTAATTAACGTTATAAGGCGACATACTCCGCTGTACTGTGAAGTGAGTTAGAAAAGAAAAATGAAAACTGTCACAACGTCATATCGTTACATCTCCACGTGACGCCTTCTAATTACTCACACGAAACACTACAACTAGTTAAAAAAAATCTAAAACTTAGTTTGTTGTCTGTTGTTAGTCGGCCAGTTTATTTTATCAGTTTATTTCAAAATGAGACGTGGCTGCCCGCAGCGTGTGCAACATTTCACCCCTTCGTCCCCCATGTCATCTCTCTCGCCAGCACTTCCACCTCCCGCTCGGACCGGTCCGCCCAGGCCAAGCCGCTCTTCGCGATGTCCTCCGAGTCCGTGGCGACCTCCGCAGAGCTCTCCCCGGAGTTCCGGGTCCGTAGCCTGCACGTAATTCACTGGCGTCCTACTACTGCTGCTTCCTCGTCATTTAACTAATGATAAACGACTAGATTGTGACTCTCCTCTTTTCTGCACCCCTTCAGGTGAAGCCCAAGACTGCGGCCAAGGTGTGCCTCCTCATCATGTACTATCCATCCTAACTATTCATATGATTACCCAGCAAATACCGTGGGTCCAGGTAAAGAGACCGCTCCACGTTAGGAGTCAATTTATTAATTAATTTGTATCAAATGTTTCCAGCAGGTCTTCAGAGATTCAGGCAAAGAAGAGCCACAGTTACTTCCAAATGAAGCTGTGCAAGACATGGGTACGGCCTCAACAGCTTGCTTGCATAAAGGAGCCACTTTATCATCCAACCATGCAAATATTTTTGATACAATTGATAAATCTGTTTGTTTGTTTTATAGCCCAAGATGTGACCTATTTCTGTCCTTTCATTGGAGCACTGAGTGGAACAGTTTTGGTTACCAACTACAGACTTTTCTTCAGATGCATGGACAGGGTATACTTTTGTTTTACCAAAGCACTTAAAGCCCAGTATTTTGAGGAATCGATCCGTTTTTTGATAATGTGTTGTTGGTTTCCAGGAGCCAGCATTCGTGCTGGACTTGCCCCTCGGGGTGGTGAGTCGCGTGGAAAAGATTGGCGGTGCATCGAACAGGGGTGACGTGTCCTACGGGTTGGTTTGTAAGGTGAGCACTGTGGAAATGTTCTGGAATAATTGCACCTGTTTTACACAGAATTTCAGATGTTTAGAGGACCTTTACAGTGCACCGACTAATGCAGTGGTTCTCAAACTGTGGGGCGCGACCCTCTGGTGGGGCACGAGAGGCTGTCGGAAATGTAGATTTTTTTTTTTTAATTCTTTTAAATTTGTTTGAAATAATTATTTTATTTATTATCCTTTATTAATCCCTTCATTTTTACCCATCCTTCGTAATAAGGGAGCAGTGTGCTGTTGTGAAGCACTGGGGCTTCAGTGTCTTGCTCAAGGACACTGAGACATGCAAACTATGGAGAGAACACGGATCGAACCGCAATGTAAAACATCACAGCCCTGTTTTTTACGTCCACGGACGATTTTGTTTTTTTCCCATTTTTGTTGGGGCGGTGGGGCCCGACAGAAAAAGTTTGAGAACCACTGGGTTAATGCATAGAGGCAGAGCCTCCTCTCATCGCTGACAGAAAGGAAATGAACATGCTCCATGTCCACAATATCCTACAAAAATGCAGCTTTAAATCCTGCGGTTTGACCATGACCTGCTTCTCTGCCTCCCTGCAGGATATGCGTAATCTACGCTTTGCACACAAGCAAATGGAGGACACACTCAGGAAGTCCATTTTTGAAGTGCTGGTCAAATTTGCGTTTCCTGTTTCCAACGGGCTGGTGAGTGATTGTCAGCCACACCGTCGCTGACCCTGTAGCTCTGCTCTGTCGGCTGGCCGATGAACTTCCCTTGTCCTCTCCACAGCAAATATACGCCTTTGAATATGGGCAAGTCTTCCCCGAGAACGGATGGAAGGTGTACGACGCTCTCTCGGAATACAAAAGACAGGTTTTTTTTTTTTTAAACGACCACATTTGCCTGATGTTACGGGAAGCCCATTGCATCGCTGTGTTATGTGTGTATGTGTGTTTTTTAAAGGGTATACCTAATGAAAGCTGGAGGATAACAAAAGTAAACGACCACTATGAGGTTTGTGACACATACCCGTCCACTCTGGCGGTGCCTGTCAACATACCGGACGAAGAGCTCAAGAGAGTTGCTGCCTTTCGAGCAAAGGGAAGGATACCAGTGAGTGAGCGGCCTCCATCATGAATCTTAACCAATCCTCTCCTGTGCAGCTGGACCAATGGACTTTCTGTTGTCTTATTGGGGTTGTGTGTGTGTGTGTGTTTAGGTGTTGTCATGGATCCATCCAGAGAGCCAGGCGACGGTGACGCGCTGCAGTCAGCCCATGGTGGGCGTCAACGGGAAGCGCAGCAAAGAGGACGAGAAATACCTCCAGGCGATCATGGACGCTAATGCTCAGTCCCACAAACTCTTCATCTTTGATGCGAGGCCCAGCGTCAACGCTGCTGCAAACAAGGTTCCCTGCATGTGTTTAAAAGGGAAACTAAACGCATGAACCATCTCAGCGACAACACTGTCACCACTGGGATTTTTTGTTTGTTTTTTTCCTCTCCAGATGAAAGGCGGCGGTTATGAAAGCGAGGACGCGTATCAGAATGCCGAGCTGGTGTTCTTGGACATTCACAATATCCACGTGATGAGAGAGTCGCTCCGTAAGCTGAAGGACGTGGTCTACCCCAACATCGAGGACTCCCACTGGCTCTCCAATCTGGAGTCCACCCATTGGCTCGAGCACATCAAGGTGAGCACCCGATCTTGGAAAGGAAAAATAAAAATAAAATGATTGCAAGATGAGCCCTTGCTAAGTTCCTTGTATGCGCGTTCTGTAGCTGATCCTGGCAGGAGCGCTGCGGATCGCAGACAAGGTGGAGTCGGGGAAAACCTCAGTGGTGGTGCACTGCAGCGACGGTTGGGACCGCACCGGCCAGCTCACCTCCTTGGCCATGCTCATGCTGGATGGCTACTACCGCACCATCCGCGGCTTCGAGGTGCTGCTGGAGAAAGAGTGGCTGAGCTTTGGTCACCGCTTTCAGCTGGTAAACACGGCTTCACGCACTCACCCCGATGAGCGGCCCTCCCAGTTCTGTCACCAATGGTACTTTTCCTCCTCTTCAAGCGCCTCGGTCATGGCGACAAGAACCACACGGACGCAGACCGCTCGCCTGTTTTCATCCAGTTCATCGACTGCGTCTGGCAGTTGACTCGCCAGGTAGGCAAGAACGGGGGGGGCTGAAATGTGGAAAAAAGCATCCTCACAATAACACGGTGTTTCAGGGACACTAATATACCTGTTTTTTGTTGAAGTTTCCTGCAGCGTTTGAGTTTAACGAGTACTTTCTGGTAACCATCCTGGACCACCTCTACAGCTGCCTCTTTGGCACCTTCTTGTGCAACAGCGAACAGCAGCGGTTGAAGGAGGTGAGAGCATTTTGTTTCTCACAGCGTTTTAAACGAGACGTTTTAACGTCCGGCACAGGGGCGAGCGTAGAACGTCTGTTGCCGCTTCACAGTCAGTGTCGTGACCGCCGCACCTTTTGTTCCTTTTACAGGAGATTCCCAAGAGGACGGTGTCGTTGTGGTCGTATGTAAATAGCCAGCTGGAGGAGTTTACCAATCCCATGTATGTCAACTACTCCAACCACGTGCTGTTCCCTGTAGTCAGCCTACGTCACCTGGAGCTCTGGGTTGGCTACTACATCCGCTGGAACCCTCGTATGAGGCCTCAGGTATGTTGGGGAACCCGTCTTTGGTAACCCTCTGCGGTTTTAAGGTTGTTTTGCACTCCTCCGTACATGCTTCATTGCAGTTATTGAGCTCCACACATAGTTTTCATTCTGTTGTTGTTGTTGTTGTTGTTGCTGCGTAGGAACCTGTTCATCAGCGTCACAAGGAGCTGCTGGCGAAGCGGGCGGAGCTGCAAAAGCGAGTGGACGAGTTGCAGCGCGAAGTGACGAACCGCTCGGCCTCTTCTTCCTCTGAGCGCACGGGCTCGCCCACGCGCTCCATCACCCCTGTGCAGACCTTTGTCTGACACAACTTTGACAGCGCAGCAGACGCCGAATCCTACCTGAGAGAAGTTGACCAAAGGCGGTAAATCAGTTGGCCGAACGCGGCGTTGACGCACGGCCACCGAACAAGAGTCTGATGCGTTTCTACCTCTCACAGGTCGTGCGGAGTCTGCTTTACTACAGCCATATTGTACTCTTCCTCCGGGGTCGAGAGGACATGTAACCAGAATAGTGAGAACATAATCACCTACAATCAGTGTTGAATCTTTGGCGCACACTAAAATATTGCTCGGGTTAAATATGCACGCCTTGTACACTTCATAGGGACTCGACTGCAAATGTTTAGATAATGAAAGCAGTGCGGAAGAAGCAACTGTGAAGATGTACAATCGCTGCAAAAATGATTTTGAGCTTTAGTACTAAACACAACTAAATGGCTCAGAGTTGTTAGATTTTGTTTAACGTAGCTGAAGGGCAGCAATACTAGCTCAAGTCAGTGCTTTTAGGTTGTTGTGACCAAATAGCCATGTCTTGTTGTTTTTTTAAATACGTAACGTTTCACATATGACATTCCTCAGTTTTGTTTTTCTAACTAGATATTTATTATCCTTTATTCCTGTATTTATGGTTTACAGACACACACACACACACGTTCTCATGTCATACATTGGTTAGAGACGCTACCACGCGAGATTAAAACCCACGCAGAATATGCAACGGTTAATTTCTTTGAGTTAATCGTCAGCTATGTAGTCAAATATGGATATGTTATCATTTCTTAGTTATGCTTTTTAAACCTAGTATCAGACGATTCGAATGTGTAACAACGAATTGGCTTTGGGTGTTTTCATATTTTAATGAAGAACTGTGCCTTGATCTGAATGACTGAGTTGGATAATTAAAAGAGAAAAGTGTGCACAGTTTTTGAAATGCCAAGAGAAAACAATACATTTTTCCTTCCACTGTCCATGTGAATACTTCCAATAAAAACAACTCAATTTCAAGGTGTTTTTATGATTTGTACGTTAGTGGAGCATGAACACAAGCCACGCCAGTTTATTCCTTGCCTTTACCTATTAGTGTTTCAAATCATACCAGAGCCCTGATTACATTAATCATCTCTTGTTATGATTATAGTCCTTCCACAAAATGAATGAATGAATCAAGCACATTCACACTGTAAATGTCAGACTTGAGTGTAATCATAAACTGAAGAGGCACTAAAGACATCTATAATCAAGCTGTTTCACTCACACCTAAATATTAGATGACAAGCCATAAATTGACTTTATTTATTACAATTCCCTCGATTTCATTATGCCCATCATTTCTAATTCATTTATGCTGCCACATAGATTGCAATTCTCTGTTTCTAAGTTTAGTTTAGTTAATAAAATAGGACAGTGTGCTGCATCCACTTCATTGCTTCAAAACACGTTCTGAGAACAAAAAGTGTATCAACATATTTCTGTTCACACACTTTGTGTTTACAAAGGTCCTTTTCGGGCCACTGGAAAGAGACAGGCACTGAAATCGATGGCTCCATCTTTCCATCCATCATGGCAGCTAAAATAAAGTTCACCTGCTCCTCATTATAGCGTTACAACTTCTGATATCGCACCAAATGTCACGGCTGTCTTTTATTTAAGGGTCTTTAAGTAATAGATTGAAACTTGATGTAGCTTCTGCTCCAAATTAAGCTTGAAACCAGGATATCTAGGACGCCCTTGATGTATACAATGCAGAAAACAATTGGGCTTGATATAATACAAAATGGCCACATGACCTCATTCTGTCAATGCTGATTGAAATGTTCAGACCTGAGATCTAAACTTGGTTGGAGTCTCACATGACGTGATGCTGAATATCATACAACGTGTGAAATATCTTGTTTAGTGGAACTGATATTTCTGGTATAGAACAGGTCCATGTTGTACAAAAATATAAGTAAAAAACAAATTGTTGCGCTAAGATTGGGTCCTTGTATATTCCTGAGTATCTGTGTTTATTAACATAAGCATCAACTTGTATCCATCATGTACAGAATGAACGGTTATGTGTGACAGCACAGCCAATGTGAGTCTCACTGCTGGTTTGTTTCAGAGCTTACGGTCCTTTTAATAACAGTGTTTCACACGGCGACAATTTAGAGATGCTGCCTGTAACTTCCTGGAGCTCCTGATCAGCCAGACATGTGGTGGTTGCACCTGCAAGTGGATCACAGACTTCCTGTCTGACAGGAAACAGCACGTGAAGCTGGGGAAACATGTCTCAGCCTCTCGGACCATCAGCACCGGTTCCCCCCCCAAGGCTGTGTTCTTTCCCCTCTGCCCTTCTCCCTGTACACCAACAGCTGCACCTCCAGTCACCAGTCCGTCAAGCTCCTGAAGTTTGCGGATGACACCACCCTCATTGGACTAATCTCTGGTGGGGACGAGTCCGCCTACAGGTGGGAGTCTGACCATCTGGTGTCGTGGTGCAGCCAGAACAACGTGGAGCTCAACGCTCTAAAGACAGTGGAGATGGTTGTGGATTTCCGGAGGAACAGAGCCCCACCTTCCCCCATCACCCTGTGTGACTCCCCTGTCACTATTGTGGACTCCTTCCGTTTCCTGGGCTCCATCATCACCCAGGACCTCAAGTAGGAGCTGAACATCAGCTCCATCACAGAGAAGGCTCAGCAGAGGTTGTTCTTCCTGAGGCAGCTGAAGAAATTCAACCTGCCAAAGAGGATGATGGTCCACTTCTACACGACCATAATATAGTCCATCGTCTGCTCCTCCATCACCGTCTGGTACGCTGCAGCCACAGCCAAGGACAAGGGCAGGCTGCAGCATGTCATCCGCTCTGCAGAGAGGGTGATCGGCTGCAATCTGCAAGACTTGTTCGCTTCCAGGTCTCTGAAGCGAGTTAAAAAGATCGTAGCCGACCCCTCCCACCCCGGACAAAAACAGTTTGTGCCCCTTCCATCTGGCAGGAGGCTGCGGGCCATCAGGACTAAGACCTCCCGCCACACGAACAGTTTCTTCCTGGCAGTCATCAACTGCCTCACACTGACTGACTATAACATTCCACCGGTCACTCCCCTTCATACCGCACATGTCACTTTAACTGTAATTTTTCACTTTGTCGTCACTCGTCACTTGTTCGCTAGTGCACTTTAGGCGTAATATTTTTTAACTTTTTTAATATTTTATATTTTTAACTTTAACTTTATTCTCTTGTTTTATACTAACCCATAGCCTTATTCTACTAACCCATTGCATTAGCATTTCATTTTACTTTATTTTATTACTTGTGCACTGCTGTCTTGTTGTCTATTGTTACACTGTCTACTGTCACGCACCAACCGCCAAGACAAATTCCTTGTAAGTTTGACATATTTTGGCAATAAATGTTTCCTGATTAAACTGGGATGAGTTCATCTTATAGCCATCTAACGTCTGAACATGTGTGGCAAACTGGTTCTTTTCAAAGCACTATGATCTTGTTTGGAGATGACGTAACCGGTCACAAGAGGTCACCTGGACACGGTGAGACAACGGCAATGATGCCCGGTGCCACATCAGTCCAGATGTTGCGATAAAACCAAAGTTAGAAAGCGCTTAAGCGGAAGATGCGTGATGCCGAGCTGCGTCGCGTGGATGCGGGCGCGTGATTGGCTTCGCTCTTTTCAAACTGCGAATCCCGCGGACGGACGTCGTGTCGCGATAGGTTTCCTTTCTTCTTCTGCTGGAGCCTTCGACCTCTTCCGGTTACATGAAGACGACGGCGTCGATACAAAAAAGAGCGAGAAGGAAAACAGGAAAATACCTTTTCTGGGCGAGAACAGCGGAAACTTCATGTTAAAATAGCGAGATACGTGCGAACGGCTCGCTTATCCCACGGAACCGCCGATGCTTGACGTCGAGCTGGTCCGGTCGGGCGCCGTGTGAGCAGCGAGAGAGATCACACATATTCGGAGTTTATTGTTCTCCGTCTAGCTTGGAAGCTACCCCCCCGTCGCCCTGCGCTACCTAGCCCAAGCTAGCTAACCTAGCCCGAGCTAGCTAACGCCAGCTCCCGCTGGATGCCAGCGCGGTGCCTGACTTCCTCGCGGAGAAATTAGCCGACGGCTTGGAAAGGGAACGAGAGGAGAGAGAGGGGGGAGAAAAGGCGCCGTTGGTCCGTTTGTGGTTTCGCAGCGGGACGTCGCGCTCACCTCTTCTAGCTCGCGTGCGTCAGGTCGGGTGAGGATGGCAACGTCGGCTCTGTACGCCTGTACCAAGTGCAACCAGCGGTACCCGTTCGAGGAGCTGTCGCAGGGCCAGCAGCTGTGCAAGGTGAGCGCACGCTAGAAACCACCACCATCATCACCATCATCATCATCATCATCATCATCATCATCATCAGCATCACAACAACGAGAAGCCACAGTGTGTTGACGGCCAGCCCGGTGTGATGGTGTTAGGACAGCGATCGTATTATGTAACATATTTTATCCTTCCACCCTGGAGGTGGTGACTCGTAATCTTGTTTAGATCATTTAGTGCTGAAATAAATAAATTGTCCATTTTCAGCTGCTAGACTTTAATTCATGAGGCGTTGAGATATTTATACTTTTTGAGAGACTCTCTGTGTGTGTATATACATGTCAACTTGTTGCTCTCATAGATGTTTTGGTGGATGTTGTTGCCTTCTGCTCAGCAGACTGCACTGATTATTAGAAGCTCGACACAATCAACGACGTTATCACTTTGTAAACTCCCTTCAAGTGGCTTCCTTGGCGAACTCCGATAACTTCTCTTTGCACAGGAGCGTGAAGTTACAGTGTTAACCTGTGAATACTATAATGCACAGAACCTCTCTTTTGTAATCTGAAAGAAAGCCAATTTAAGTCACCCAACAGTGGCTTTTGGTGGGCAGCGCCCTACTGCAATAAGCAAAGCTAAAATACAGAAGCGGTTGACTCTTCCCCTGGGTGCAGCCACATAGTCGGGTGTTTGTATCCAACAAACATCAAGGTGTGTTGCCAGGCAGGGCGAGTTTTGGCAGTCTTTTCTTTTCTGATGCGTTAGTTGCAATTGCACAATTTAATTGTCACACTCACGAGAACATTTCTTTGTTTTGCTGCCGTAGGAGTGCCGCATCGCACATCCGATAGTGAAGTGCACGTTCTGCAGATCTGAATTTCAGCAGGAAAGGTGAGACATGTGCGCCTTTGTACCGGCAAAAGGGAATGTCATTTTATTGCATTTGTTTTGTGCCGTAAATCCCTTGTTTATTCTTTCCAGTAAAACTAATACAATCTGCAAGAAATGCGCCCAGAATGTCAAACAGTTTGGAACAGTAAGTAACAAGTTTCTCCAGTCTTTTTGCCAAAGCAGCTTGAACTCTGCTTGAGCTTGTTCATTAAGCTGTGCATTTATTCGCAGTCCGTCATTTGTAAATTCCCCCTTTAACATTGTTTTTGATCCGTCTTTACAGCCCAAACCCTGCCAATACTGTAACATCATCGCAGCTTTTATCGGGACAAAGTGCCAACGTTGTACTAACTCAGAGAAGAAATATGGACCTCCGCAGACCTGTGAGCAGTGCAAACAGCAGTGCGCTTTTGACCGTAAGGAGGAGGGCAGGAGAAAGGTAACAACCATATATACATTCAGTCTTCTTTAACAATGAAACGGAACAAACTACTGACTCCTCGTCGTCTTACAGGTGGATGGGAAACTCTTGTGCTGGCTCTGTACTCTGTCCTATCGCCGTGTCCTGCAGAAGACCAAGGAGCAGAGGAAGGGCTTCGGCTCCTCCAACTCCTCATCCCTGAATGAGAAAGACCACCACTCCAGACCTCACCATCATCATCATCATCACCACCAACAGCAGCAGCAGCAGCAGCAACAACAACAACAACACAGACACAGCAGCTCTCATCACAAGTATGTCCTCTGTTTTGTAATTGTTGATTTTTGTTGTTGAGAAGATGAAAATTGGGTCCAGCCAACTAACCGCTAACTTCTCTTTTCAGACTAAGTGGGAGTTTGAGTCCTGAGCAGGAACAGGGACTGTGGAAGCAGAGGTGAGGGTTCCCCTCTCATTGGAACTGCATAGTACACATATCTCACAACAATGTCATGATTTTGTTTTTTGCCCAAATTGTACATTGTCATTTTTAATTTCTTTCCAGCCATAAATCGTCTTCAATCCAGAAGGAGACTCCTAAGAAGAAACCAAAACTGGAGATGAAGCCATCCAACGGGGACAGGTATGAAAACAATTGTAATTGTTTGGCGAAAGCATGGTGACAATATGTATATTAGCCATCTAAAAAAAAAAATTTCTGGCATCCTGCTCTTTCCTTTCTCCCAATAGTAGTTCCATTACCCAGTCGATGGATTCTGGCGGAACTGACAACTTCATTCTCATCAGCCAGCTGAAAGAGGAAGTGATGTCGCTGAAGAGACTTCTGCAGCAAAGGGATCTGACCATTCTCGAGAAGGACAGAAAGGTTGGTCGTCGGCCTCATCTCCAATGAGCTGAAGTCACGCCATTTGTTTTGTGTGCTGATTATTAATTTCCCTTCCAGCTGACAGAGATCAAAGCAGACTTTCAGTACCAGGAATCCAACATGAGAGTCAAGATGAACCAAATGGAGAAATCACACAAAGAGTCTATGGAGCAACAACAGGTGGGAAACCATAAATGCAAAAGGGACATGTCACAAAAACACTCACCAAAATCCACCCAGTTTCAATACCACATTTGGGCTCTAGTCAAAACTTCCGTTGGAATATTTTTTTTAGGAAGGTTCTTATGTTGTTTACTTTCCTATTTTTGTCTGACACAATAAAACTACCTACAGCCGCCCTCCTAAAAAATGTTAACACTGTCTTCATTTTACTAAGTTTGTAACGGCTCCTTTGTCTTTTTGTTGAATATGATGTGAATAAAAAAAAAATATATTTTTTTTTATTCCTTTTCATACTTGTTTATATACGTACTTCTATCTAAATAGTTGTTGTGTTCAGGCTCCAAGGGGGTTTGATTATAGAATAATTTCTAAAGTGGGTCTTGTATTTTAGTCTTGACCGTTACTCTGATCAGTTCAAGTTGATTTTGTTTTCCTATAAAAGCCAAGTTGGTTATGTTTGCTGGTCAAAATCCAGATTTACGGACTTTTTAATTTCCCAAATGCCTCCACTGAAGCTGTTAAGATGCATCGTTCTGAGCGTTTTATTTCCTAACCTTCTTTTGTTTCCACAGGGCAAGAACAGGGAGTTGATGAAACAAGTGGCAGCCCTCTCTAAAGGGAAAAAGTTTGACCGGACAGGGAGTTCTCTGCTGTTGCCCTAACAATAGGCCAAGCGAGGGGTAACGACACAGAGCGGCTTCATTGTTGTAACACTGTGAAAGTCTCCCTACTGTGTTTTCCTCATTGCCATTAACATTGATCACTTCTTAGCTGGTGAAGCCAGCGACCATGTTGTACATGGAGATCAATTGTTGAATCGAAGGAACCCTTCTCCAAATGTCAGCATATTTTAGATATTTATGACAAATTCTGCATAGGATGGGACTTTGGATGGAGTGGAGGACGGAGCCCTCGTTTTTAACACTGCCGGGCCAAAACAAAAAAAGCATGGTTTGCATATGTGGATCGCATTCTGTCAACTCCAATGTATCCACGTACCTTTTATGGATGTAATGCAATTTATTTATTCAACTGTATTTCTTAGCTTTTTTTATTTCCTCACAACATACTAAGAGGATATCCCACATTTGGGGGTTTTCTTCAATAGCAATTAGTTCTATTTTTCTAAATTTATGCGATTGTGGAAAAGAAGTTCTCCTCAATGGAGATGCTGCGAAACTTGATCATGTATGCAAACTTGGGACGGGTGACCACTGAGTTGCCGCTCTGCAGTACAGAACCCTCCCAGTAACACTTCATAAAACAACCAATGGACACTTCAAACGTCTGTCTAGTGGAGAGACGCCTCTTGGCTGCCCTGTTTCTCACAGTGCGACAGCTGTAGTGCTTTGCTGTTTCTCTTCAGTGGAACAATTGTAATACTGCATGATTTTACTGCCAGACAACGGGTGGCAATGTGGTCAAACTTCTTTCCCCCTCTCCCCTTTTATTAGTTTTTTTTAAGAATCACATGTAAATGTATTTCTGGGGTCAGCCATTGTATTTAAACTATTGCTTGTATCTGTTTTAGCGAGTACAGTATGTGTATGGTAAGGCCAGTTGAGATATACATGTTTGTAGAAGATGCTTTTTAAACACACCTATCACCTTGCATTATTGGGCTGGTTTCATACTGTGGCGTCCAGGATCACTTTTGTACTTTTTCCAAACCAAGTGTTTTAAACTTATTAAACTGGCTCAACTGTAGTTTTTGTTTGCTTACCTTTTATTGACCATGATTGTGTTTGCCTTTTTAAAAGGCAGTCAGGTCCCAAGACTTAACTTGGAGAATTTACGCCATCATCTGTGAGGTAAATTATGTTTAGGTGTAAAAAGAATCCACCCTAGTAGTTTGAAGTAAGGCTTTATTAATAGCCAGCCGACCAATGAAGCATGTACTGTACAATGTGTCTTGTCATATGAACAATACAATACATTAATAACAACAATGAACGTGAAAGGTTTGCTAGCTAAAACATAAAGGGAAGGCATCTACCAGTGATTATAGTATAAATGTAACTTTAAAGGTTTCAAAGGACGATGAGTCGAAATGTTAAATAATTTAATCGACTGCGGTTTATTAGTCCCATAGAAGGTCAGCAGCGCTTTCTTATGCATACTTGCATAGCTACTGCCAGTATGATTGGTTCTGGATAGAGAAGACATCGCAGCCTTTTGGTAAACACTACAGTTAACCACGTTATAGAGGGGCACTTGAACGCCTCACATTGTACATCCGGGGGACTAGAACTTTCCGCTAAATAAATAGCTAACGTTAGCTAGCTAGCTTAGCTGGCGGTGCTTGCTGCGGGATACTTCAGAGCATAACGTTAATTAAAATACAACCAAAGGTTTCTACGTAAGCTTGTGGTGTGGAGCCTGAAATAAATGTTTTCAATGATTTTTCTTTTGATTTCACAATACCGGTGCGGGCACACGAAGAAATGATCTCCACCGAGATATGAGTTAGTCTAGCGAAACCTTAAGTTTTAAGCTAACGTTAGCTAGCTTAATGAGCGATATTTGGCTTGGATGAACAGCAGGCTAGCTGATAGCAATCATCACCTTCAGCAAACTGGCCAAAACCCAATTTTCCCAAATCTGAAATTGGGTAACGAGAAGTAAGTGCATATATAAGTGCATATTTTGTTTTCACCATACTTCTATTGACATGCTACCGTTCACGAACGCAATAAACGTTAGCTAACGTTGAAACGTCACTTTGTTGTCGCATTGGTGAAGGTAACATCAGTTTAGTTACATTCGAATATAGAAGATAATCAGTCTGCTGTTTTTAAATGTATCGTGAGAAGCAAATGAAAAGCTCGAACGTCACAGTACACGAATACAACCGTGAAGCGTAAATGTAACTAACGTTAGCTAACATTATACATTTAAAAAGATAAGCACTTCTCCAGTATTAAATGTATCACACCCTTGCAAGTCACTGTAAATGTGTTCCGTTTAGTATGTCGGACTCGGACAGTGAAGAGGACCAAGATCGCCCTTTCTCTCTGACTGGCTTCCTCTTTGGAAACATCAACGAAGATGGACAGCTGGAGGATGACAGTGTTTTGGACAATGTGAGTGTTTCAAGGCTTATTTGTCACTTAAATTTTACCAGATTATTCAATTCATGGTGGGACTGATATACAACATATCATTTTAATCGTTAACGTTAAGAGCTTGGTTACGTTCCATTGCAACTTTCGGGTGTGCTTCTACTGTTCCTCCAAACCCAGGAGTCCAAGAAGCATTTGGCTGGTTTGGGGACACTCGGCCTGGGCTCACTTATTACAGAGATCACTGCCAATGATGAGGAGGATCAGGAGGACAGCAGAGACAACACCAACGTTGATGCAGCAGGTTGGTTTGACAATCAATGGAAATGTTTATGATTTATTAAGCCAGGAACTGGCTGGAATGACATGTACATTGTTTTTTCCTCTTCCAGGCTGGGTAAAAAGTACAGCAGATGCAGTTGATTACTCTGACATCAGTGAGGTTGCGGAGGATGAGACAAAGAAGTACCGTCAGGCCATGGGGTCTATGCAGCCAAGCAGGAAAACGGGTGCAAAACAGTCATATTTGTTTCATATTGTTGTTAGACTAAAAATGACAACTTTGAAATTCAAACTTTGTTTTTGATTTCTGTACTTAAAGAGTTTCTTAAGATGTATGACGTTGATCTAATCTTTATGAATGTCTTTATTTTCTATTTAAAGAAATCTATATATTTACATAATAATAATAATGATGATATCTTGCCACCAAATATCTAACCATTTTCGCTCAAACCTATAAAGGAAGTATCAATGGACTGTTATATGATACATATTTTTCAACATTTTCCAATTCTTCAGTCTTAGATGATGAGGACGACTATGATGCTGACTGTGAGGATATTGATTCAAAGCTTATGCCTCCTCCGCCACCACCAAGTCTTCCTATAGCTGCCAAGAAAGAGGAACCCTCCTCACAGAGCCCAACTGGTAAGCACCTGTTTACTTATAATGATTGTGTGTGGCTTGTGTTATTCCACATATGTTTAAGCTCCAACTCTGGATTCTGTAAGGAAACGAATTAGCTATGGATATTTCATTAGGGTGGATGTTATTGTGAGAAAGTATTCTTCTGCATTTGGTCATATAGTAAATCCAATAGCGATGCAGATTAGGTTAAATTATTGTTTTGTCTCAAATAGCTAAAGGGAAGTTTGATTGTCGCTGATGCTGGTGTGGACCTCTTCCTATCTCCCCTCACAGTTGGGGAAGACGGAGATGGCATTATCCTGCCCTCCATCATTGCACCATCCTCTACAGCCGATAAGGTTGACTTCAGCAGCTCGTCTGACTCCGAGTCAGAACCCGACCGACCCGACCGGCCGGGCTCAGGGGACGGCCCCTCCGATCTGCTCAACCTTCCTCTTGCGGGCATCATGCAGAAAGATGCTGCCAAAGCGCTGCCTGGTGTTACAGAGCTATTCCCTGAGTTCAGGCCTGGAAGGGTAACTTCTCAGATATATTATTATCCGGTTTTATTTCGTAATCCTAATTTTGAAATCAAAGAGCGCGCTGACACCCGCTGTCTGTCGGACATGCTACCAGGTCCTCAGATTCTTACGGCTGTTCGGTCCTGGAAAGAACATGCCATCCGTTTGGAGGAGTGCCCGCAGGAAGAAAAAGCGGAAGCACCGCGACCATCAACCTGGGACGCCTCCTCCAGAAGGAGAGCCAACAGAGCAAAGCCAGGAGCAGAAGTCTGGATGGATTTATGAGTATGCTGCCCCTCCTCCCCCAGAGCAGTGTCTCTCCGATGACGAGGTAAAAACCTCCAGTGTCGCAGTGTATTGTGTGCGCTACTGTTGGGCGTGTGTACCTCCTGCAGTTAGTCATTGTACCGAGGGCTGAACATGCTTTTATGTGCCGCCACCCAGATAACTATGATGGCTCCGGTAGAATCCAAGTTCTCACAAACCTGTGGCGATGGGGACAAGGAGGCAGAGTCTCGACCTAAAGTAGCAGAATGGAGATATGGTCCAGCCCAGCTCTGGTACGACATGCTCGGCGTCTCTGAGGATGGAAGCAACTTTAACTACGGCTTCAAGCTGAAAGAAGAGCAGACCAGTGAGCTTCAGCAGCGGGACACGCCTGAAGAAATAAGAGATGCTGCTTGTGAGGTATGCTGTGAATATCTGTAGCTTTGACGTGAAATCATGAAATCTCTAATTGTGTTACTTATATTGTCTATCATATATCTATCTACAGTTTCAGAGGCGGATGAACGGCGATAACGATGACAGTGATGATGGAGATAAGGAACAATCCGCCCTTGAGAATGAGCTCTTCCTGATGGTCACTCAGCTGAAATGGGAGGAAGATATTATCTGGAATGGGGAGGACGTAAAACACAAGGGCACAAAGACTCAGCGGGCCAGCCTTGCAGGATGGCTTCCTTCTAGCATGACCCGCAATGCCAATGCTTACAATGCACAGCAGGGTGAGACACCAAGGGAAAGAAATGTGTCTGACGCAAACAGCATACAATACCGACAAAACTAAACTAAACACAAACCCGCCAAACACAAAGACTGTAGTATTTCATGGGCGTGCAATAAATACAATCTTCTATTTCATTTTACAGGTCTCACAAGAAGTAATTCTCAGTTGGTGCCACCCACACCTCCACCCATGCCCAAAGTGTCTTCAATCTCCGGCTCTAAGCGGGAAAAAAACAGCCATGATAGTCACGGTGAGTTTATTTTTAAGTCACAATAAAAATAATAGCCTTACTAGACCGTATCTCAGGCTGTACTGATTTCCCCTGTTGTCCTCATGTGTTCTTGTTACTCCGCAGCCTTTTCAGAAGAAGACTGTCCTTGGTTCTCCATTTTCCCAATTGACAACGAGGAGTTAGTGTATGGGCGCTGGGAAGATAACATTATCTGGGATGACCAGGAGATGGATCGCATGCTCATGCCACCTGTTCTTACACTGGATCCCAACGATGAAAATATCATTCTAGGTATATTCGGAATTATTCATAGTAACATTTTTTTCCCTTTTCCAAAATGAACTGATGTAAAAATGTACATTATGACCGTTTGGCAGTTTGTTCAAAGGTTGAATGTTCCAAAACATTTATTATATGCATGCATGCTATTTCCATTTATCAGACTATATGTAATTTATATCATGTTAACAGAGCATCTAATATTAGTCTGTCAGTAAATCCTGTATACAAGTATACAATATTGTCACCCTATTATGACCGACTGCTGCCTCTTGTAGAAATCCCCAATGAAAAGGAGGAGATGACTTCCCACTCCCCGTCGAAAGAGAATAAGAAGGAAACTGCAATCAAAAAGAGCCGCATCCTGCTGGGGAAGACTGGGGTGATAAAAGATGAGCCACAGCAGGTAAGCTGCCTCCTCATGCCAGCTGATGACGATAATATGAAATGGAAGATTACAAGGGCCGCCTCTCCAGGGGTGATGTGGGGTGATGTGAGTTATTTTAAACAGAAAATGATCAGTAGAGTACAATATGGAAGATCAAGCCTATGTAATTAATTGATGCAAGTGACACCCGGCCCCACACATTTTTCATAGTGCCATTTTTTTGATGAAGATTGTAAAGGACATTACTTTTAGGAGGCAATGTGGTTTCTCTCAACTCAGAACATGTCGCAGCCTGAAGTGAAGGACC